GATATACTCGGAATACATATCCCAAATGAAATAAATGATCTCACTCCAATAAATGTTAATAGAAAGTTAGCAAAAATAGATAAGATCTTGCGACCATGGAAAGGTAAATACAGTACCTGTCTATTTGTGGAAAAATCACCCTGATTAACTCTTTAGTAGTATCCCAGTTTACCTATTTGCTTATTTGCCTACACCTAGCGAACATTTTTGTAAATTATATGAGAAAAAAATATTCCATATTTGGAACGGCAAGCAAGACTAAATTAAACGGGCCTATTTATATAATTAATATGAATTCGGAGGACATAAATTATTAAATATTAAAGCATTAGACCTATCACTAAAAGCTTCAGTCATACAAAAGTTATACTTAAATCCGAACTGGTTCTCTAGCAAATTAGTAATATTGTCTCACCCAATGTTCATGAAAGGCCTTTTTCCCTTTATTCAGATTACAACCTCTCACTTTCAGTTATTTGAAAAGGAAATAATCTCCCAAATATCACTAGCGTTGTCCGGGTTTGGCCGGTGTAGGCCGTCATTGTAAATAAGAATTTGTTCTTAACTGACTTGCCTAGTTAAATAAAGCAAAATATATATATATATATATATATATATATATATATATGTATATATATTTGCGTGAAGAAAAACATATGGGGGATTGGAAGTGATGTAGATAATTACACTGATGGAAGTTACAATCTATCTGCAATATTAAAGCTGATCTACCCCCTAAAAAAGAAAAAGAAAAGAAAAAAAGAATGAATGGGGTTGTGGTGGATGTGACATTAAACTATGAATTTTCTCATCGGTACCCCCATTTTAGAAAACAGTTAGACGGTAATAGTTGTGGTGTTCATTTGTGCTTGTTCTCTAACGCAGTCTTATTAAAGTGCAATGTCAATACTCTTTGTCACAATGGCAAGCGAGACTATGTTTTACATTAGTTATCGGAGGGGAAATTACTTAGTTGAAAGAAGTTAAGGTTTTAAGCTTGAAGAATACAGCAGACTGTCTCCTGTAATGCATTTTAAACTGTACAGAAAAGGCCTTTGCTGACCTTGGTAGATAATCATCACAATATAACTTGTAAATAATCTTCTCTCTGTTATTGTAATAGGCCTATGCCTACCTGGGCGGCAGGTAGCCTAGCGGTTAAGAGTGTTGGGGCAGTAACCGAAAGGTTGCTGGTTTGAATCCCTTCGCTGACTAGGTGAAGCAAGGCACTTAAGCCTAATTGCTCCTGTAAGTCCCTATGGATAAGAGCATCTGCTAAATGACTCAAATGCCTTCACTGTATACTGCTAACCTGTTAGGTATTACTTCTAAATAATTGTCTTTATTGCCATTCTGAAAGCATTACATTTTCATTTTGACTAAAAAGTTTGCCTTATGTGTTTGAGTGTGTATAATGCTGCTGGGTATTTAAACCTCAGTCCCCCATGAAATAACACCATACTGTATAAAGATTATACAGACCCTACTGAGTAATCCCAACCACACTTTGACATTGGCACATAGAACAGTTTTTTCTCTATAAGCCAATATGTAATGCATATACAGTGATTTGTATTGTGGCCAATAGAATGGGTGTAGTAAAAGGCCAGCAACACTATTATTCAGTGCCCCATGAAATGACACCAAATATAGATTCTATAGACCCTACTGAGTACTCCCAACCCCACTTTTAAGTCAACACATATAGTAATTATTTCCCTATAAGCCTATATGTAATTTATAGGCCTACAGTGTATTGCATTGGGACCACTGGAATGGGTGGAGTAAAATGTGCTGCTGGGTATGTAGACCTCAGTCTGCCAAGAAATAACACCATACACTCAGTGGCCAGTTTGTTTATTAGGTACACCACCCGTTCACGGAAATGGTTCACTCCTACAGACAGTGAGTCACTTGGCCTTGGCTTGCTCGATGCCCATCGAGGCATTCAGTTACTGTTCGATTGAATGTTGGAATGGGCAAAACGAGTGACCTAAGCAACTTTAAGCGTGGTATGATCATCGGTGCCAGGCGCGCCAGTTCCAGTATCTTAGAAATTGATGGCATCCTGGGCTTTTCATTCACGACAGTGTCTAGAGTTTACCGAGAGTGGTGCAACAAACAAAGAACATCCAGTCAGCGGTAGTCCTGTGGACGAAAACAACTCGTTGATGAGAGTTCGAAGGAGAATGGCAAGAATCGTGCAAGCTAACAGGCGGGCCACAAACAGACAAATAACGGAGCAGTGCAACAGTGGTGTGCAGAACCGCATCTCAGAATGCACAACTCATCGATCCTTGTCACGGATGGGCTATTGCAGCAGATGACCACACTGGGTTCCACTCCTATCAGCTAAAAACAAGAAGAAGCGGCTCCAGTGGGCACGCGATCACCAACACTGGACAATTGAGGAGTGGAAAAACATCGCCTGGTCCAACGAATCCCGGTTCCTGTTGCATCATGCTGATGGCAGAGTCAGGATTTGGCGTAAGCAGCATGAGTCCATGGCCCCATCCTGCCTGTTGCCAACGGTACAGGCTGGTGGCGGCGGTGTAATGGTGTGGGGAATGTTTTCCTGCCACACGTTAGGTCCCTTGATACCAATTGAACAACGTTTCCATGCCCTGAAGCATTCAGGCTGTTCTGGAGGTAAAGGGGGGTCCGACCCGTTACTAGATGGGTGGGTACACCCATCTAGTACTCCCAGCCCACATTTACATCGACACATAGAGTAGTTTTTTCTCTATAAGCCAATATGTGATTCATATGCAGTGTATTGCATTGCAGTGGGTGGAGTAAGGATTCACCAGCATTCTTTATTAAACCCGTTGCCCAGCACAATAGACCAATTTAAGTTTTGTAGACTCTATTGAGTAATTCCAATTACATATATTTTATTAAAAGTGTATTTCTTTTCATTTAGCCTATACATTGGCCGTGTTCGAGAGGATCAAAACCGTAATGTATCATGGGTAAATTGTGACTACTGACTGATCTACAAATAATAATGAGTCGTTATTTATGATGGAAGGTGATTTGTAGATCAGTCAGTAGGCAGTTGCCTGCACTGTCAGCTGCAATGTCGAACAAGCCCAATAGCTTTCAACATTCCAGTATTGGTGTAAACTTTCTAAAGAAATGCTGGTATAAATAATACAATATTAAAAATAAAAGTACGTAAAATTATCCTTTTTTTAAAAGGTGGTTGCAATGCTGTGAAAACAGTTGTACTGCACTAGAGTGCAAAAACAAAATCGATATTTCAAAAGTTTAGCATGTCTTTGTAGGGGGACTCTTATTTTGAAGAAAAATAATCCGGATCGTGCTGCCAACATAATATCCTGCTGCCAGGAGAACGGTAATTGGAAAGCCCACTAGCTATCCAGCCCGCGAGTGAGGTCAGAGATCCGCTTGAAAGGTGGAGCCTATATAGGCTGCGGTTAGACAGGCAGTCCAATTCTCCTGATATTTTGTGAAAAGATCTGATGCGATTGGTCAAAAGTGCAGGGGTATTCAACCGGGGGTCCAGCAACAACAGAATAAACACATTTTGAATGACATACCTACAGTAGAAAATAGGAGAATATTTTATTTCTAATGATGCCAAGTTTATTTCTCAACTCTAATATTAAGAAAATTACACTAATTGAAGCCAATTACACTCACTGGAGTATCTGACATAGGCTTTGAAAAAGCACCCGTGAATAGGCTACCAGTGTTGCAAGTGCTGCTGGCTGCTGGTAAACTTTCTTAACCTGGACATAATTTTTTGCCAATACATGGCTAACCTTTGTTTAACCAGCTAAACAGCCGCTCTTAGCGAAAATGTGTTTAGAGTTACCTTTCTAGCTAATAGGCTAAGTTATAGTTTACACTTCCTCTTCCAATTATAATGTGGGGAGGTCAAAATAATGAAAAACTACCAAATATATTCATTTTAAATAAATATGTTGATTACTTCTCCTTGCCATTATCATTCACCTAATGATAAGACAAGACATGTGAAAAAATGTTTTTAGCTAACATATGATGGGGGTCTCTGGCTGCCGCTTTGCCTGAGAGGGGTTCCCTGAGGGGGTCCCTTGGCAAGAAAAGGTTGAAGACCCCTGAATTAGTGAGAAAAAAAAGATCAGTTGGGCTACCTGTGTAAACGCTGCCATAAACAAAGAGGCATGTGATGCTAAGGTTACACCCAGGGCCCACACGTTTAGGCATTTTTACATTGAATTAAAAAATGCTTGAATAAATGGATTTATAGCCTATATTTTATTTTGTTATGTTTGCACATTGAAAAAAAGTCACTCATAATTTGTTTTGAGTCACTTATCATTTGTCCATCATTTGCTCACTCACACATAATATGCACATACATTTATACTGACTCTACACACCCGCACACTCACTCACATGCAAGCTGCTGCTACTCTGTTTATCTTATATCCTGTTGCCTAGTGACCTTACCCCTATACATATCTACCTCCATCACTCCAGTATTCCTGCACATGTAAATATGGTATTGGAACTTACTTTTTCAATATTTGCTGTATATAGTATGCTTACTTATTGTGTATTTCATATTTCATATTCTTATTTCTCTTGTTTTTTTTTCTAGTAATACATTGTTATTGATTATTGCATTGTTGGGCTTTGAGTTTGCAAGAAAGGCATTTCACTGTACTTGTGCATGTGACATTAAAACTTGAAACTTGACTGCAATTTTTTGTTACAAATATCACAGTCAGTTTTACTTGGGCCCTATTCATATGTTTTTCCCCACTAATTGGTCTTTACTGTTTCAGAGCTGATCTGATTGGTCAAAAGATCAATTAGTGAGAAGAAAAAGATCAGAATTGGGCTGCCTGTGTAAAGGCAGACTCTGATTCCATGTGTTTTTTAAGATGTGAGCTCCCTCTAGTGATGCATTATTTGTTCGTTTTGTCCAGCGCCATTCGCGTATCGTAATACCTTCGCTAGCTGGTTCTTTGGCTCTAGCGAGACACCGTAGGTCCAAGCCCTGTGCGCTTTCATTTTGGTTTAGCTACTAGCTAAGTGATTCCAAATAGCTTCATAATCTTGACTGGAGTTATTTTTAGCTGGCGATTAAAGTGTTGTTGGAGGGTATTCGCTGTGTTCCTGTACCTAGAAAGTGTGTAAATCCACTGAACAGAGGCGGACCTAGTTAGGTCTGGATTAGCCGCTCCTCGAGACCGCTGGCTGCTCAGTTCTTAAAAGGAATATCTTTACACGTTGGGTGTCATTAGCAAGTTAGCCCGCTAAATTACCTAGCGAACACATCATCGCTAGGTTTTTACAACATGTCATATCGGAGGACAATCAAACTTGTGTGTGGGTTCGCTGGCGGATCAGCGGTGCTTGTTGCCGCAGCGGAATCCCGTGGTTATTTCGGTGACACGCAAGGAGAGCGAGCAGGTCAGTGGAGTCGGTTCAATATTCTCCAAGCTGCACAGCCAGCGACATGGTCAGCGGGAAACCACACTGTTGCATCTACTCGACATGCCTGGGACTTCAACTGGGATAAGTATGACTCCTTTATTAGCTAAGTCTGATGCAGACTACTGTAAAACATAAAGGGTGTCTGATGGGATGTGGGTCAAATCAAGTAGTTTAGTCTACACTGAGTGTGATTGATATTTGCAGCCAGCAACATGTTGACAGCCTGACAGGTGGCTTGTCAGGGCTCTGGGCAGGTAGGTCATCAAGAGAAATAAACCACCACACAAATCACTGATTTGATCCCTCTGTACTGTACTAGGCGGGACTCGTCCACACTGTTGACAAATGGAAAGAAGAAGGAGAACACCAGTGAAGACCCAAGCTCGGAGCAGGAGAATGGCAAACCCAAAGCCACACGCAACATCCTCCTCATCAGGCACTCCCAGTACAACCTGAGTGGGAATGGAGACCATGAGAGAATCCTCACCCCTTTAGGTTCTGTACCCTGTGCTGCTGTGTATTCATGTTGCTAAAGGCATGAAACATAGACCTAGTTCTCCACTCTGCTCTACAGCTCAACAGTTGCGTTTTAGTGAATAAGAAGAGCATATTCAGCAGCACTCTTTAGAGGTGGTGAAAGTGGTATACGAGTACAATCTGGTAATTTATGGGACAATGTGTTGGTGTTCTGCAGGTCGGGAGCAGGCTGAGCTTACTGGCCAGCGGTTGGCTGCCCTGGGGCTGAAGTATGACATCATGGTCTACTCCACTATGGCCAGGGCCACCGAGACGGCCAACATCATCAGCAAGTACCTCCCAGGTCAGAACCCTAGACCGGCAGACTTTACAGCTGAGGCGTATGCCAGAGTCTATTCAATATTCAGAGACACGCTTGTCTGGTACCACGGGACTAACCAGTACTGTGCATCAGGGGTGACCAAATCTCCTTCTGGAGAGCTACCATCCTGAAGGATTTCCCAGCCTCAATCTAACACTCGTGGTTCAACTTTAGAATCACGTTTTGACTTCAGAAAATGGATTGGTTGAATCAATAGACCATGGGGTTAAATCAGGTGTGTTTGTGTAGAGCTGGAGCAAAAGCCTGCACACCCAGTAGCTATTCAGGAGGAGGGCTGGCTACCTCTGCTGCTATTCATGGTGCAGATATTTACAGTTCCTTCAGAAAGTATTCACACCCCTTGACTTTTTCCACATTTTGTTGTGTTACAGGCTGAATTTCAAATGGATTCAATTGAGATTTTGTGTCACTGACCTACACACAATACCCCATAATGCCAAAGTGGAATTATGTTTTTTGACATTTTTACAAATTAATAAAAAATAAAAAGCTGAAATGCCTTGAGTAAGTAAGTATTCAACCCCTTTGTTATGGCAAGCCTAAATAAGTTCACGAGTAAAAATTTGCTTAACAATGCACATAAGTTGCATGGACTCACTCTGTGTGCAATAATAGTGAATGACTACCTCATCACTGTACCCAACATATACAGTTATCTGTAAGGTCCCTCAGTCAAGCTTTTAAATGTATGTAGTTCTGTCCTTGAGCCATTCTTGTCTATTAATGTTCTGAATTATGTCGTTTCATGTTTGGTGTGGACCCCAGGAAGAGTAGCTGTGGCTTTCGCAACAGATAATGGGGATCCTAATAAAATACCAAAGCAGTGAATTTCAACCACAAAGACCAGGGAGGTTTCCAATGCCTCGCAAAGAAGGGCACCTATTGGTAGATGGGTAAAAAAAAAAAAGCAGACATTGAATATCCCTTAGCGTGGTGAAGTTATTAATTATACTTTGGAGGGTGTATCAATACACCCAGTCACAAGAAAGATACAGGCATCCTTCACTCAGTTGCCGGAGAGGAAGGAAACTGCTCAGGGATTTCACGATGAGGCCAATGGTGACTAAAAGAGTTACAGAGTTTAATGGCTGTGATAGGAGAAAACTGAAGATAGATCAATAATATTGTAGTTACGCCACAATATTAACTTAATTGACAGAGTGAAAAGAAGGAAGCCTGGACAGAATACAAATATCTTTCATATGGTTTTTTTTAACAGAAATGACAATTAAATCCATTTTAATCCCACTTTGTAACAGAACAAAATGTGGAAAAAGTCAAGGTGTGTGAATACTTCCTGAAAGCACTGTACATCACTTGATACCAAAGCTCTATCTCTGATAACCGCCTCAGAAGCTTCGATCTCAGATTTTCAGATGTAAAAGTTGTCATGAATAGATAAGTATTTCACTACTCACCACTAACTAACTTTAATCTTCTGATTTGTAATTGGTATAGGGGTAGAGCTGGTGAGCTGTGATTTGCTTAGGGAAGGAGCACCCATCGAACCTGTGCCTCCTGTTAACCACTGGAAGCCTGATGCTGTGGTGAGAGACACGCCCATTCTCTGTCATATTACCTCCTGTTTAGTTTCCCTTTCACTTATTAGTTACTGCCGTCTGCATCATTCAATGCAATGTATTCCAATGAGAGGTCAGAGGTAATCTCAAACCCTCGTCTGACACGACCACTGTGGACCTCTACCGCTCTACAGCAGTACCACGAGGACGGGGCCCGGATCGAGGCTGCCTTCCGCCGCTACATCCACCGCGCTGACCCCAAGCAGAAGGAGGACAGCTACGAGATCATCGTCTGTCATGCCAATGTCATCCGCTATTTTGTGTGCAGGTGTGTTGGTCTCCCCAGGCAGGCTGAAGCTGGAGCAAAGCCTCATTCAACAAGATGATGCCAATCAACATGATGACTTTGTCCAGCAATTTCACTGTCTTGCTGATGTCTTTGCATTTCATGACTATAATGATGTGCTTTCCAACATCGCATGATGTGAATATTTGTTTTTAAAAATAGACCAGCTCTCATAGCGTATTTAGGTTGCTTTTACAGGCTCTCTCCCTCCCTCTGTGTGTCAGGGCTCTGCAGTTTCCTCCAGAGGGCTGGCTGAGGATGGGGCTGAACAACGGCAGCATCACCTGGCTCACCGTGCGCCCCAGCGGCAGAGTGGCACTGAGGACACTGGGAGACTCAGGGTTCATGCCCCCAGACAAACTCACACGGACCTGAGAAATGTTCCACCTACAGTATTCATTCGTTCTCTCTGAGAGCTTCAGATGTCATCGTAGGGTGAACTGAATGGCTCTTGATTTCTCTTTAAGTGTCTTGAAAGTTACTTTTGGTGTTCTTTTTGTAAATTCAACGTGCAATGATGTACTAACTTTTATGTGGTGTTTTGTGATCAACTCCCGTGCCATCGTTTGCCAACTGCAGTGTGAAAGGGGAGTATACAGTATGTTGTACCCTTCCTTCTCTGATTTTGTATTAAACTTAAGGGGAAGCAGGTTTCTCAATGACTGAACTGTTGCTGTAACCAATCACTTAACTCAGAAAGCTGATGTGATGACTGCCAGTGCCCACTCATTGCTTATTATGAATGTAAACGGTATAGTTGAGGGACTGAAGGATTTTAAAACCAAAAGCGTTCTACATTTGTATGGCTTATTTACTGTAATGCTGTAAATGCTTATCATGTTCAGTCCTTTTGTATTTGGATCAAGGCATCATCTGAGGTTTAGATAGTTGTTGTATTCAGTAGAAACATGCAATAAAGGAGACATGTAAATGTTTTGTGTTCCTCACTAGTACATCAAATAAGTACTCTTAGTCATAAAATAGGGTTAGCTCAAGCTGGGACAAAAGTAATGATATTGTCTCGAGACTTAACAGCAAATCCAATGCACCTTTGTGTTGGCACTACAAAGCTTGAAAATTACACAATGTAATATTTGTTAGTAATTTGTTAGAGGACAAGAGTGCCACCACCATTTCAGGCAGTAACAATGTTAGCAAATGCTCAAAGGACAACAATTCAAAGCTGATGAAACATATTTATTAGTCGGAAGCAAATGAGAAGATCTGGACATACAGAAGATGGGAAAATTCGCGATGAATCCTTTTTTAAAACAAAGCACAGAATGCCAAAGCACAATAAGCATGTTTAAGTATTTACCGGTAGGTGCAATTTGCAGAACTCCACATTCATAAAACATTTGCAGACCAGAATGAAATCTGTCACCTGTGAGCACCAGTACGACAGACAATACAATCCTCTCCATGAAATAGTTTGTGCCTCTGATGATCAAGGTTTTAATTCACATTCAATATTACTCACGTCTCTCATGCTGACCCAGACTGACAATATAGTAAGGGTGATTTCTATTGAATTTGGATTGACAGCTGTTGACTTCTAGATTAGCTTTGCTGGCTAGAAAACCATACATTTGACAGCAGTTTGTAAATTGACTATTTTTACAGTGATAGCGATCTTCATAGAGTTTGGCGATTGCAGGTTCTTGTATAATCAATGGCTGACTGAATGTGCATGAGTAAACATGTCTTTGCAGTAACCTGTTATGTACAGTTTGGTATTACTCTGACATATTTAGAAAATCCAAGACGAGTTCAAGAAGTTTTGCTTTCAGCTTTTGTGTGAGACTGACAGTTGTTAAAGAAGTAAAGTGTGAAGACAACACAGAAATTACCAGGATGCGCAAAGAAACATTGGTACCTGGAAAATGAAAACGTTTCAATTTATTAAATAACAAAATAAAAACATGGAAAAACTCAGAAGTGTATTATCATTTTCCCCATGTTTGCTTTGCAGCCATTTGTTGGGTTAGCTGCAGTAGGATGGTGGTTGCTATGCTGTTGTGTGTCAGTATGCATCAACTTTGACCAAACAGTACAGGATGTGGCTAATTCTGATTGGAGACTGACTGGTCCATCGTTTCTGAAAATTAAGGCAATTCCTGAACTGAGAAGAAACTAAATAACTGGCAGTTGGTTTTGTGCTACTGTCTGACATACCATAAATAACTCTACAATATATATTTTTTTTTACTTTTTAAAAACATTTTCAGTTAGTGAATCCTATCGAGGATTCTATTCTGAGGTTTAACAAACATCTACTCAATCTTTTGGGGAGTGCAGCTGTATTACCGGTTATTCAAAGTAGACTGAGCTATGATACAGGTGTTTCACACTTACTATGAATAATATTAATTAATGTCTATTCAACACTCATACAGTATGTAGTACAGACTGAAGGAAACATGTTTCTTTTTTTAAAGTCTGAGTGTACGTCACAACCCAACATACTGAGAATCTCGTATGTATGCAATATATAGAAGTAGAACCATACACCATTAATACAAATCTTCAAGACACTTGTGCATATTTTGTTAGGTAGGTGGTTTTGAGCTCTGCCATATTTAACCACCTTGGTGGCAGAGTTGTAGCCTATCGTTTCTGTCCAGGTGGGGTTAGGGGTCAGGCTTGGAGTTGGCTAGGGGTCGTTGATGTGCCTGAGGCGGATGCGCTGGATGTAGCTGGCGTGTGCAGGGCTGTAGCGGCTGGGGCTGGGGAAGTCTGGAGAGCCTGTGTGCCGGGCGGGACTGAAGCGGCCACCAGCAGGGGACACCTGACTGCTGACAGGAGAGCCGTGTGTGAGGGGAGAGGCCTGATGTACCCTGGTTCTGCTTTTTACCACCACAGGGCTGGGCCAGCTGAAAGACAAACAGAAACAAAACCATAATTAGAGTCCGCATTTATTTGGTTGTTTCCATACGATAGCAACTTACATTTTAAGCACTTGTCAATGTGTTTCCATATTTACAAGTTAACTTGCAGGCAATGACAACTGTTCATGTGCATGGAGGCATTTATTGTTTTTGCTGTGAAGAATCGTCAAACCAACCTTTGCATGTCTGAAGAGGTGTATGTCTGCATTGTGCTTTTCCATTTCTGAATGCTGGGGAACTTCGAGGGGTCGATGTCTATGGCTTCTATTGCTGACAGGACCTCTCTGTCCAACTTGGTTGGTGAATCGCTGAAAGACAAAACAAGAGTGTTGGCAGATTTCATTTCTGTTGTTTAATTAAAAACCTCAGAATCTTCACCGTAATCCTCATCACTCACCCTTCAATGAAAAGTCCTCTTCTGATGTGAGGTGGGGTCCGTGCTAGGAACTCATGGGAGTTGTCCAGGGACGTATAGGAGCTGGATGATCCGGAGCTGCTCAGATCCCTCCCCCCGTGATCCCACGACTTAGATCTGGCGCAGAGCGTGCGCCCCGACACCGTCCCTGGCCCCCTAGTCCTCTGGCCCAGAGCCTCCAAGCTCTCCTCAGCCGTGAAGTACTCCTCCGAGCTGCCGCTTCCACCACTGGCCCAGTCTTCCACCTCTCCCTCCCTCACACACCTCTCCCTGTCCCCAGGCTCCAAGCTACAGCCCCTCTCAAACACAGAGTCCTCGTTGGTGTCACCCCCCAGCGTGAGGCGGCCCACCCCGGATGCCAGTTCGTCCCGGGAGAGTCCCTCCCTGTGTCCCCCGCTCCTCCTCCGCTCCCTGTCCCTGGTAAGGCCGTCCAGCCCGTCCTGCAGGGACATCCTCTCAAACTCCACCATCAGGTTGGAGATAGGCGATAGCAGGCAGGAGGGGGACGAGGAGGTGCGGGGGGACCTCTTGTCCCCATTGTGAGTCCTCTCTGCCCCCGTGGAGGGACACAGGCCGTTGTTGCAGACAGGCGAGAGGAGGCTCTCTGACATGGAGGAGCTCAGAAGGTCTCGCTCGGCAGCTGTCTCGATGAGGTCATCGGCGCCGTGGTGGGAAACGGGCAGGATGTGGAACTCACGGAGGCCCAGCCCACCCACGGCGCCCGCCAGACTGTCCTTAGAACACGCTGAGGTGATGCTGGTGAGCGCCGCGTTCTGACGGTTCTTTAACTCCTCCAGGCTGACGTCATCACCCTCGTCCAGGAAGGCCCCCACTGAGATGGAGTTGCAGAACTTTTTGGGCTTGACTGTGAATGGCAGAGAGGAGGGGAAAATGTTCATGTTAAGCTACAAGAAATACATTTACTGGTCAATCTAAAGTAGTATAGGAACATCAATTCAAGACTGTGATGGCTGCATCTCATCCCTCTCCTTTCTCAAACTTGATAATTGGAATTCAATACCACTGCTATACAGTTTATCAAGAGCAACTGGTGAGGATAACATTACCTGGGGAAGGGGTTCTGAAGCGGTTGCTGGTTACGTTCTCCCCTGCCTCTTCGTGTGCACGCTGACTGAAGTCCTTCTTGTTGAGGTACTCCTCCAGCTTACGGAGGCCGTCTGCAGACGACAGGTCTGTGAAACTGTCCAGGAAGTCCCAGTACTCAGCCCAGGGATGGCCCAGCTCCCTGGCAAGGACTCTGTAAGGGAACACATAATACACTGCTGTTGGAGAAGCATGCCTACATTGTAGTGTGTGTAAAAATGTATTCTTCCTTTTTTCGCTCGGGTTCTAAGATATTCAAATGTCAAAGTGACTGCACTGGTAAAGTAAAGGAGACACAGTAGAACATGGTTGTTGAACGTTGTGGACTTGTAGACGAACCTGCCCACTCTCTCTGCTCCACGGTCAGGGTCAGACTTCAGGATGTGCTGGAAGTGCCCCGCCCTGTCTCTGGGGGGGGTCTTCCACACCCGGCGGAACTCATCTGCCTGCAAGGAAGACACCAATTAATGTTACATACATCCTGTGTTTCTACAACAGCTTCCCACATGAAAATAAAGAAATAAGGTGTGAAAAGAAGACATAAAAGGAGTGAGGTGAAAGAGAACAATGTGATAATGACCTTAGATGGGCTGAGTGGGCCAGCGAATGCCCTGACTGCCATCACTGGATCCATGGGACTTCGTGTGAGCCTGGGAGCCAGCGAATGAGGAAGAGTTTCTGATGGCTCAGGTGACCAGGGAGCACCAATGACAGGCTGGGATGAGTTGTCTGTGGCCCTCAATAAGGGTATATAACAGCGATCTGTGACAGAAGAGAAGGTGTTATTGGGTAAATAGGTAAGAATAGGAAAACATAAGTCCTGTGATTGGGAGGCAGTGCACTTACCTTCCAAATAGTCACATATCTTCTGTTTCACCTCTTGGGTTTTGTTTTTTCTTTCACAAATAACCTGTCAGGGAAACAGAAGAATTTCATGAAAATCAAATAGTAATGTGGACTAATCAGCAGTCGGTAGCTAGTTTTAAAAATCTATATATATCTGGAGCAACTCACATCAGATGGTTTCTGGTCGTACTTGTTCTTGCAGTTTTTATCTGTATCAGGATGTGAACACAGGACATTCACCACTTCTGGACACCCGAACTTACAGGCAAAGTGGAGTGGTGTCTCAAAGCCCTGGGACAGACAACCAAAGTTAAACACATACAGCATAAACAGAGGCAATTCAATCCAAAACACACAAGTCGGTTACAGCTAAACCTAAACATGGAATAGGCATGCACTCAAAAAGTAGTTTCAAAGAGTTCACTTCATTAGTCCGTTTTTACAATTATTTTATCTGCATAGGGGAATAGGCTAAAAGGCTTATTCAGTGTTAAACCTACAAGGCAACAGGCAAGATACATATGGAGAGAGCCGGTGGTGTAGTGGAGGGTATAAGCAGGTATACGCTGTATACCCACTTTCTTTTAGTGGGCATTGTGTATACTCCCTCCTTAATCCCCACGATGCGTATCAAAGTAGTGTAGTGGAGGTATACGCCGTATCAATTAAGGCTGATAGAACATATCAGAATGTTTAGCTTAAAATGTTGATCAACTATTATTTCTTCACATTTTAAGCGCAGCAATGTGCACACGGCGGTAGGCCTCACCGCAAATGTCCCAAAATGCAATTTGCGAGAAAACACTGTTCTAAAATGCGCACCGCACATGGACAGAGATGGAAATATCCACTAAGAGATTTAGAAAGAGAGACCTAAAAGATGAAACTACTGTATAATGGACTGCTAATTTGACTAAGATAATGCCTTTGGCTGTTAGACAATGAAAGAAAGTTGATTTGAAAACCAATTGAACAGAAGAGCCCATATGAGAAAGTATTTATAAAATAATAATTTCTATGGTGGGATGATTTTGGCTAAATGCTACTTGAAGCAAGGTAAGACAAGCCTCATAATATGAAATAAAAAGTCCAGGTTTCAAACAATTAAGAAACAGGAAAAATATAGACGCTAATGATAGGCCTAACTATCTTCTGGTAGATGGAAAGGCTTTCCCAAAACCTTCTCAATTAAACATTAACTAGCTACAAAGTAGCCTATGCCTACCTGGCAGAATGATATCATGATTATTTGCATCAATCCAGTGGCCATTTGTTTTGCAAACTCCATCTCATGTGCACTACAGAAACACCGCTAACCAAAAAAAATCTCTGCTATGTGCTTACACAGTTGAATTAAAAGGTAGGCCTAACTACACACAAAAAGGGGAAAATCAGAAACCTGTGAATTTCTGACTCAGTTGACAGCCTCATTTATCTATTTCAATAGCAGTCCTACTATTAGCCTACTCGCACAGTACAGAGTGTCACTGTCAAAAAAATTTTTCACACAGGTCGCCTTTCCTTCGCCGGGCACAATTTGAGTATACCCACTTCTCCAGGCACCACTACACCACTGGAGAGAGCAGTATCGTAAGTATACTCACAGCTTTGTCTGGAGTGTTGAGGTACAGGTCCACGATGTATCGGATGCGTTTCTGCAGCATGGCCTCCAGGTCATCAGGGTACATGAGCCTCATGAAGTCAGGGTTCTCCAGGGTGTCCAGCAGGAGCTGGGCAATCCCTGGCTCGTTCTCCTTGGCTGCCACGTGCATCACGTTGTACCTACACCCCTCCTGGGAACACACAGAGGATTTAATTTAGTGTGAGGAAAACTTTTAGGATTAATTCTTCTGCAAACTACATACCGATTGATTTCATCCACACCACATCATATCAATCTTCATCATTACAGTATATCAATCTGGTGCAGTAGTATAGGCTATATTAAGATGGAGCACATCCACTATAGATTATTGTTCCACCCTGACTCACCTGCACTACGGTGGGGTTGTCTCCAGAGCCGATGAGATAGCGTGGGTTGCTCCAGACCAGTTCACTGAAGGCCACCTCATCCCCCTTCTCCACAGCCTTCCTTAGCTTGGCTGTCAGATCCTGGCAGCGAGGGCTTTTGAAGCCGTTGGCCCTCTCCCTGTTGACGGTGTCTACCTCCATGACAGGGATGTTGTCTAGAGCGACAGACCAGAGAGATGGAGACAACAGATTAAAACAGATCAGCAGAATGCGATTAACAGCTTACTCGTTTGAGATTTGGACGTGTCCAAGAAATGAAATGCTATCCAAATACCCTTGAAAAGCACTGCCTTTGTGTATTTCTCTAGGAATTCTAAAAGAAGTACTGAGCTAATAAATTGTCCTCAGCCCAACACTCACCCTTGCAGAAGACCAGGCCTGGTTTGACAGGAGAGACACAGGGGGCAAATTTACTGGGAGAGGGGTAGTAGTCACAGATCCCTTTGGCAAATTTCTCAGCATCCTCTCGACTGGAGAAGGCTTTAAAGCGAGCTCCTTTCATCATCTTAACAGCCTGAAGAGCCTCCTTCTTATCGCCATACACGTGGGCCCTCTCTGGAACAGGAAGAACAAATAAACATTGAAAATGTATGTTTAGATAGCTCCTGATGTCTACCTACAAATAGAAACATTCCAGAATTGGATTTAGAATCGATCATGGTCAGATATGCCATCACAAGCAAAGCAGCTCAAAGTCTTACTACTGCTAAGAAAAATGGAGTCGCCATGCTAATGCAGAAGGCCATAAGGTGACAGATGTTCTATGGATCTCAACCACTGACTTCAAGTCAAAACAAAAATAACCCCTGAAGAGCATGATGTCAAATCAAACACAGCAACATAAAATGTTTGAATTGGACCTTGACTGTGGTGTGACAGCATGCAGGGTCAAGTTCATTCTCGTATCAACATAGCTAGCTTTCCAACAGTTCTCTGCCTTTGCATGTGAAAATAAATAATTACATAAACTTTTGACTGATTAACAGGCCAAAGTACATTTCAGGGATGGGTGATTCCTCACAAAAATTAGAACAAAGAAAGACGATGATTATTCATAGGTCTTTTGGAGGAAGGATTGTCGATATACATTTGAATCTTAAGCATAATAATTATGCTTTCAGATACAAATACATGACATATACACTATATATACAAAAGTACGTGGACTCCCCTTCAAATTAGTAGATTCGGCTATTTCAGCCACACCCGTTGCTGACAGGTGTATACAATCGAGCACACAGCCATGCAATCTCCATAGGTAAACATTGGCAGTAGAACAGCCTTACTGAAGAGCTCAGTGACTTTCAACGTGGCACCATCATAGGATGCCACCTTTCCAACAAACCAGTTAGTCAAATTTCTGCCCTGCTAGAGCTGCCCCGGTCAACTGTAGGCACTGTTATTGTGAAGTAGAAATGTCTAGGAGCAACAACGACTCAGCCGCGAAGTGGTAGGCCACACAAACTCACAGAACGGGTCCGCCAAGTGCTGAAGGGTGTAAAAATTGTCTGTCCTCAGTTGCAACACTCACTACAGAGTTCCAAACTGCCTCTGGAAGCAACATCAGCACAATAACTGTTTGTCAGGAGCTTCATGAAATGGGTTTCCATGGCCGAGTAGCCGCACACAAGCCTAGGAACACCATGTGCAATGCCAAGCGTCGGCTGGAGTGGTGTAAAGCTCGCCGCCATTGGACTGTAGCAGGGCTGCCCAATTCCAATCCTGGAGTACTGAAACACTTCTGGGTTTCATCCTCTCCTAATCAAGGAATAATTCATACCTGGGACACGAGGTGAGCGCAATTAACTACCAGGTAGAAACAAAAATAGAAGTGTTCGGCCCTCCAGGACTGGAATTGGGCAGCCCTGCGGTAGAGTATATTATATTAAACAATATATTTAAAAAATTGGCAAATCAAAAAAAGTATATTTTAAATATGCATGTTTATAATTTTTCTATATTGATCAATTAATGTCAGATTTTTAAGAATTGAAATCAAAGTACTACTCATAGCAGAGCAAGTGGTACAGCTTCATACAGTGCATTCGGAAAGTATTCAGACCCCTTGACGTTCTCCACATTGTTACATTACAGCCTTATTCTAAAATTGATTAAATAAAAATTCTAATCAATCTACACACAATACCCCATAATAACAAAGCGAAAACAGGTTTAGAAAGGTTTGCAAATGTATTAAAAATAAAAAACAGATATACCTTATTTACATAAGTATTCAGACCCTTTGCTATGAGACTCAAAATTGAGCTCAGGTGCATCCTGTTTCCATTGATCATCCTTGAGATGTTTCTAAAACTTGATTGGAGTCCACCTGCGGTAAATTCAATTGATTGGACATGATTTGGAAAGGCACACACCTGTCTATATAAGGCCCCACAGTTGACAGTGCACGTCAGAGCAAAAACCAAGCCACGAGGTCGAAGGAATTGTCCGTAGAGCTCCGAGACAGGATTGTGGGGAAGGGTATCAAAAAATGTCTGCAGCATTGAAGGTCCCCAAGAACCCAGTGGCCTCCATCATTCTTAAATGAAAGAAGTTTGGAACCACCAAGACTCTCTTCCTGGACTGGCCGCCCGGCCAAACTGAACAATCGGGGAAGAAGGGCCTTGGTCAGGGAGGTGACCAAGAACTCAATGGTCACTCTGACAGAGCCCTAGAGTTCCTCTGTGGAGATGGAAGAACCGTCCAGAAGGACAACCATCTCTGCAGCACTCTACCAATCAGGCCTTTATGGTAGAGTGGCCAGACGGAAGCCACTCCTCAGTAAAAGGCACATGAAAGCCCGCTTGGAGTTTTCCAAAAGGCACCTAAAGGACTCAGACCATGAGAAACAAGATTCTCTGGTCTGATGAAACCAAAATTGAACTCTTTGGCCTGAATGCCAAGCATCACGTCTGGAGGAAACCTGGCACAATCCCTACGGCGAAGCATGGGTGGCAGCATCATGCTGTGGGTATGTTTTTCAGCGGCAGGGACTGGGAGACTAGTCAGGATCGAGGGAAAGATTAACAGAGCAAAGTACAGAGAGATCCTTGATAAAAATCTGTTCCAGAGCACTCAGGACCTGAGACTGGGGCGAAGGTTCACCTTCCAACAGGACAACGACCCTAAGCACATAGCAAAGACAACGCAGGAGTGGCTTCGGGACAATTCTCTGAATGTCCTTGAGTGGCCCAGCCAGATCCCGGACTTGAACCCGCTCCAACATCTCTGGTGAGACCTGAAAATAGCTGTGCAGCGACGCTCCCAATCCAACCTGACAGAGCTTGAGAGGATCTGCAGAGAAGAATGGGAGAAACTCCACAAATACAGGTGTGCCAAGCTTGTAGAATCATACCCAAGAAGTCTTGAGGCTGTAATCGCTGCCAAAGGTGCTTCAACAAAGTACTGAGTAAAGGGTCTGAATACTTACGTTAATGTCAACCTGCCCGCTTGACCCTATCCCCTCCTCTCTTCTCCAGACCATCTCCGGAGACCTTCTCCCTTACCTCACCTCGCTGATCAACTCATCCTTGACCACTGGCTATGTCCCTTCCGTCTTCAAGAGAGCGAGAGTTGCACCCCTTCTCAAAAAACCAACACTCGATCCCTCTGATGTCAACAACTACAGACCAGTATCACTTCTCTCTTTTCTCTCCAAAACTATTGAGCGTGCCGTCTTTAGCCAACTCTCTTGCTATCTCTCTCAGAATTACCTTCTTGATCCAAACCAGTCAGGTTTCAAGACTGGTCATTCAACTGAGACTGCTCTTCTCTGTGTCACGGAGGCTCTCCGCACTGCTAAAGCTAACTCTCTCTCCTCTGCTCTTGTCCTTCTAGACCTGTCTGCTGCCTTTGATACTGTGAACCATCAGATCCTCCTCTCCACCCTCTCCGAGCTGGGCATCTCCGGCGCGGCTCACTCTTGGATTGCGTCCTACCCGACCGGTCGCTCCTACCAAGTGGCGTGGCGAGAAGCTGTGTCCGCACCACGTGCTCTCACCACTGGTGTCCCCCAGGGCTCAGTTCTAGGCCCTCTCCTATTCTCGCTATACACCAAGTCACTTGGCTCTGTCATATCCTCACATGGCCTCTCCTATCATTGCTACGCTGACGACACACAACTAATCTTCTCCTTTCCCCCTTCTGATAACCAGGTGGCGAATCGCATCTCTGCATGTCTGGCAGACATATCAGTATGGATGACAGATCACCACCTCAAGCTGAACCTTGGCAAGACGGAGCTGCTCTTCCTCCCGGGGAAGGACTGCCTGTTCCATGATCTCGCCATCACGGTTGACAACTCCGTTGTGTCCTCCTCCCATAGTGCGAAGAGCCTTGGCGTGACCCTGGACAACACCCTGTCGTTCTCCGCTAACATCAAGGCGGTGACCCGATCCTGTAGGTTCATGCTCTACAACATTCGGAGAGTACGACCCTGCCTTACACAGGAAGCGGCACAGGTCCTAATCCAGGCACTTGTCATCTCCCGTCTGGATTACTGCAACTCGCTGTTGGCTGGGCTCCCTGCCTGTGCCATTAAACCCCTACAACTCATCCAGAATGCCGCAGCCCGTCTGGTGTTCAACCTTCCCAAGTTCTCTCACATCACCCCGCTCCTCCGCACACTCCACTGGCTTCCAGTTGAAGCTCGCATCTGCTACAAGACCATGGTGCTTGCCTACGGAGCTGTGAGGGGAACGGCACCTCCGTACCTTCAGGCTCTGATCAGTCCCTACACCCAAACGAGGGCATTGCGTTCATCCACCTCTGGCCTGCTGGCTCCCCTACCTCTGTGGAAGCATAGTTCCCGCTCAGCCCAGTCAAAACTGTTCGCTGCTCTGGCACCCCAATGGTGGAAAAAGCTCCCTCACGACGCCAGGACAGCGGAGTCACTCACCACCTTCCGGAGACATTTGAAACCCCACCTCTTTAAGGAATACCTGGGATAGGATAAAGTAATCCTTCTACCCCCCCCCCCCCCCCAAAAAAAAAATTGTTTTGTAAAGTGGTTATCCCACTGGCTATAAGGTGAATGGACCTATTTGTAAGTCGCTCTGGATAAGAGCGCCTGCTAAATGACGTAAATGTAAAATGTAAAATATTTCAGTTTTTGCTTTGTCATTACGGGGTATTGTGTGTAGATTGAGGGGGGGAAAAAACAATTTAATCAATTTTAGAATAAGACTAACGTAACAAAATGTGGAAAAGGTCATGGGGTCTGAATACTTTCAAATGCACTGTATGACACAACACCAACGTTTGCTTTGTAGCACCTACAGATTAAATAATATAGTCTAAAAGGAGGTCTGGGTAAGGCCAAAATGTCACAAATATTCTAATTTAAATTAATTATTTCTCAATTATGCTTTACGACACATGTCAAATATAAGTCAACAATCCTTCTTCCAAAAGGTCCCTTCAATGGATTAAATGTAGTAAAAAAAATAAAAAATCATGGTCTTCTTTTGTTCTAGTTTCGTGAGGAATCACCCGGATATTTTACATCCGTCCCAGTGAAAAAACTGCGTCTTACCATTTGTAGCCAAGACATCTTCCCACAACGGACACACTCCATAGAACAACGTTGGTGACATTTGTGCTGTCTTTGAAGGAGTCTTTGCTTTAGACTGAGAATCAGGGTCTTCCACACGGATATTACAAGGGGTCCTTGACATTACTGTCAGGCCAAGTTCCTCTTCCTCTGGGGGATTGAGCCCCATTCCGTAACCAAAGTCCACCTCATCACTGACAGCCTTAAGAGAGTCAGTGCCAGTGGGTGCTGATGTTGTGGCACATGATGGCACCGGTTTGGCCTGCTCTGCTGCACTGGCGGCCATTGCACTGCTGCCTGGGCCTGCAGTGGTGGCATTACTGCTACTGTCCGTCTCTGTGGCGCTGCTGCTGCCCTCGGCTTCTGCCAGGACGCGGGCCAACTTCCTCTCGAAGATGGCGCGGGTGGTAGCCGTGATTGGGCCGCACTTGAGGTCGGCCCTGGTGAATTCCTCTCGCAGCTCGTCTGCACTCAGCCCTCTCAGCCTGCTCAGAACCGCCTCCATGCTTCAGTTTGGCAACCTGCATGGAGGGTGGGGGGGGGGGGGATTTGATATTCAAACTGCTGTGTAATGATATTGACACTAACAGTATAATACAATGATTAATGTGCCTAAGGCTACTTCTTAATCTTTGCATGGCAAGGAAATAGATTTTAAATGTATTTAAGAAGAATGAAAAAAACTGAACAGACCCCTTTTGAGCTTATTGATAACAAGTGCACCCTATTCACCCTGATCCCCTACTAGACAGCCCATAAGTATGGCTCTGCCATCAAAGGACAAAAAGGGGTATCTGTAACTGTTTCAAAGACTGGAATAAATTATTTCTCATGGATATGAAAAACCCCTAAAATAAACCCTAACCCCACTGCAGCCCGCCTACGTGACGCTTGGTTTTTAAGCAGCTTCACAAACATGCAAGCCATAATGAACGGAACCGGCGATTCGAAAGCTTTCCGGGGGGGGGGGGGGGTAAATATAGGTTTGGATGGAATAAATCACATTTTAAACCCCTTTGTGTTCGATGTTTTTAAACATCACCGATTTCGGAGGAGGCGTGGGAATATTTAGAATCTTAATCGATTCAATCGCATGGTGTCACGCCCAAGTGCCATTCCTGTTATCTATTTTCGTGCATTAACAATTTGATACCTCATGTCTTCATGGTAATTTTACTGATATAATCTATTTTAACACAGACTTGATTACATCAGATGCCAAATGTATATCCCTACTTACCAGACATCATCTTAATTGCTTTTCGTTCATGACCTGAAATATATTTTAATATTCAGCAGCAAAGAAACTGTTGAAACAGACAATGCTCAAGACCGTCTGGAATCGTCTCATTGTTTACAAGACATTGTGCGCATGCTCACTTCCAAGGCACGGCTCATGCCAGTGGGGGGGGTTTGATTATTCTGGCCCGGGCTATACCAGCTATGGCCCGTAACTTCATCGGGCGAAAAGGGGAGGGAGGAGAGCCAGTCTCAAATCGAACAGTAATCTGGGCCGCTCGCTCATGTTGTCAACAAGGTGCATCGTTCATAAACATAGAACATCTCTTATCCATAAAATAAATGTTTGCATTTTCAAACAAGTTTTCATTGGGAAGGCAGATAAAGCGTTTTAATCAAAAGCAATCACTTTTGCATGTGAAAACAGAATCCTACTCACATTACTACACGTGCTTAATTAAGTATATTTTGTTTTGAGCCGACTTCACCGTCGGACAGAGCTGGCACCTGGCTCACGCCCGGGAGGCAGCGCGGTTCCAAATCGAATGGAATAAACTTTCAGCCGGTGCAAAACACTCCTACACTAGCTAGCCTAGTTATCAGTCCAAACCAAGCTAGTAATGGTGATGTTGCTAGAAACCGTTCACTGTGCAAGCGATGAATCTCGAAAGGCAATAATCAAGAGACAATGGGCACCTATCTATAACACCCATCTATAATTGGGTTCTAGCAAGTTGGATTCATCTCACAATTGTTAGCTGACTAAATTAGTTAAGAGTTTACTTGCTAGCTAGCTACACCGGAGGTTTAGCCTAAAAGCTAGCAAGCAACACACTTCCCCTATACAACATTGGTCACTTTTGGCTACGCGGAGAAAAGTATACCTTCACAACATTAAAATCACTTTGATCCTTCAGAAAAACACCACCAGTTAGCTACCTAATTTAGCTAGCAGTGTATGACTAAGTAGCTAACTCGGTAGACGTACGCTAGTTACTGTACAACCAACAACAGTTAGCTGTGCCAAATGTAGATTGAGTAAACAGGTTGGATAACACATGGATATATTTTGTTAATGCAACAACTGGTAAGTTTGGACTTGAAAATGACAACATAATCAACGTACACCTCCTTGCTTTCCTCCTGCCGTGTCCTGTCCTCACCGCGGCGGTTTCAAAATGTGACGACAAAGGACCAAGGTTTTGACTAACATAATGCCTGATCGAAATTGAAACTGTACTCTGAAGTGAGCCATGCTAGCCAGCCAGCCAGTCATAATCAATCATAAAAAAACGATATCCTATTAACAAATTGGATATGTATCTCCAAATATAAAAGATATCTATGGAAAAGCTAGTTTCGAGAAAAAAAAAATGAAGCATGGGATCAATTAATTTACTAATTAAAGGTAATTTAATCAATTATAAGTCCTACAGCCCGTATAACTATCAAATGTTAGTGTATGAAATAAGAAAATGGATGAGCATTGACGAATAGTTCAACTTTATGAGAAATACAATTATATACAGTACCAGTCAAAAGTTTGAACACACCTATTTTATTTTTATTATTTTTTACTATTTTCTACCTTGTAGAATAATAATGAAGATATCAAAACTATGAAATAACACATGGAATCATGTAGTAACCCAAAAAGTGTTAAACAAATCAAAATATATTTTATATTTGAGATTCTTCAAATAGCCACCCCTTTGCCTTTAATTTTTTATTTTATTTTACCTTTATTTAACTAGGCAAGTCAGTTAAGAACAAATTCTTATTTACAATGAAGGCCTACACCGCCAAACCCGGATGACACTGGGCCAATTGTGCGCCGCCCTATGACAGCCCTTGATGACAGCTTTGCACACTCTTGGCATTCTCTCAACCAGCTTCATGAGGTAGTCACCTGGAATGCATTTGTGGAATTTCTTTCCTTCTTAATGCGTTTGAGCCAATCAGTTGTGTTGTGACAAGGTAGGGGTGGTATAGTCCCGTGTAGCTCAGTTGGTAGAGCATGGCGTTTGCAACACCAGGGTTGTGGGTTCGTTTCCCATGGGGGACCAGTATGAAAAAAAAAAAATGCACTCACTAACTGTAAGTCGCTCCGGATAAGAGCATCTGCTAAATGACTAAAATGTAAATGTCAAATGTGGTATACAGAAGATAGCCCTATTTGGTAAAAGTCCAAGTCCATATTATGGCAAGAACAGCTCAAATAAGCAAAGAGAAACAACAGTCCATCATTAATTTAAGACATGAAGGTCAGTCAATCTGGAAAATGTCAAGAACTTTTAAAGTTTCTTCAAGTGCAGTCGCAAAAACCAGCAAGCGCTATGATGAAACTGGCTCTCATGAGGACCGCAACAGGAAAGGAAGACCCAGAGTTACCTCTGCTGCAGAGGATAAGTTCATTAGAGTTAACTGCACCTCAGATTGCAGCCCAAATAAATGCTTCACAGATTTCAAGTAGCAGACACATCTCAACATCAACTGTCCAGAGGAGACTGTGTGAATCAGGCCTTCATGGTCGAATTGCTGCAAAGAAACCACTACTAAAGGACACCAATAAGAAGAAGATACTTGCTTGGGCCAAAAAACATGAGCAATGGACATTAGACCGGTGGAAATGTGTCCTTTGGTCTGGAGTCCAAACTGCCGTGTCTTTGGGACAGAGTAGGTGAACGGATGATCTCCGCATGTGTGGTTCCCACCGTGAAGCATGGAGGAGGAGGTGTGATGGTGCTTTGCTGGATATTTATTTAGAATTCAAGGCACACTTAACCAGCATGGCTACCACAGCATTCTGCAGCAATACGCCATCCCATCTGGTTTGCGCTTAGTGGGACTATCATTTGTTTTTCAACAGGACAATGACCCAACACACCTCCAAGCTGTGTAAGGGCTATTTTAGCAAGAAGGAGAGTAATGAAGTGCTGCATCAGATGACCTGGCCTCCACAATCACCCGAACTCAACCCGATTGAGATGGTTTGGGATGCGTTGGACCGCAGAGTGAAGGAAAAGCAGCCAACAAGAGCTCAGCATATGTGGGAACTCCGTCAAGACTGTTGGAAAAGCATTCCAGGTGAAGCTGGGTGAGAGAATGCCAAGTGTGCAAAGTCGTCATCAAGGCAAAAGGTGGCTACTTTGAAGAATCTAAAATCTAGTTTGATTTTTTAAAACACTTTTTTGGTTACTATTGTTCTACAATGTAGAAAATAGTAAAAATAAAGAAAAACCCTGGAATGAGTAGGTGTGTCCAAACTTTTGACTGGTGCAGTGTGTGTGTGTGTGTGTGTATATATATACATATATATATACACACACACACACTGCATATATATATATATATATATATATATATATATATATATATATACAGTTGAAGTCGGAAGTTTACATACACATAGGTTGGAGTCATTAAAACTCGTTTTTCAACCACTCCACAAAGTTCTTGTTAACAAACTATAGTTTTTGCAAGTCGGTTAGGACATCTACTTTGTGCATGACACAAGTCATTTTTCCAACAATTGTTTACAGACAGATGATTTCACTTATAATTCACTGTATCACAATTTCAGTGGGTCAGAAGTTTACATACACTAAATTGACTGTGCCTATAAACAGCTTGGAAAATTCCAGAAAATGATGTCATGGCTTTAGAAGCTTCTGATAGGCTAATTGACATCATTTGAGTCAATTGGAGGTGTACCTGTGGATGTATTTCAAGGCCTACCTTCAAACTCAGTGCCTCTTTGCTTGACATCATGGGAAAATCAAAAGAAATCAGCCAAGACCTCAGGAAAAAAATGGTATACCTCCACAAGTCTGGTTCATCCTTGAGAGCAATTTCAAACGCCTGAAGGTACCGCGTTCATCTGTACAAACAATAATACGCAAGTATAAACACCATGGGACCACGCAGCCGTCATACTGCTCAGGAAGGAGACACGTTCTGTCTCCTAGAGATGAATGTACTTTGGTGCGAAAAGTGCAAATCAATCCCAGAACAACAGCAAAGGACCTTGTGAAGATGCTGGAGGAAACCGGTACAAAAGTATCTATATCCACAATAAAACGAGTCCTATATCGACATAACCGGAAAGGCCGCTCAGCAAGGAAGAAGCCACTGATCCAAAACCGCCATTAAAAAAGCCAGACTACGGTTTGCAACTGCACATGGGGACAAAGATTGTACTTTTTGGAGAAATGTCCTCTGGTCTGATGAAACAAAAATAGAACTGTTTGGCCATAATGACCATTGTTATATTTGGAGGAAAAAGGGGGTGGCTTGCAAGCCGAAGAACAACATCCCAACCGTGAAGCACGGGGGTGGCAGCATCATGCTGTGGGGGTGCTTTGCTGCAGGAGGGACTAGTGCACTTCACAAAATAGATGGCATCATGAGGAAGGAAAATTATGTGGATATATTGAAGCAACATCTCAAGACATCAGTCAGGAAGTTAAAGCTTGGTCGCAAATGGGTCTTCCAAATGGACAATGACCCCAAGCATACTTCCAAAGTTGTGGCAAAATGGCTTAAGGACAACAAAGTCAAGGTATTGGAGTGGCCATCACAAAGCCCTGACCTCAATCCTATAGAAAATGTGTGGGCAGAACTGAAAAAGCGTGTGCGAGCAAGGAGGCCTACAAACCTGACTCAATTACACCAGCTCTGTCAGGAGGAATGGGCCAAAATTCACCCAACTTATTGTGGGAAGCTTTTGGAAGGCTACCTGAAACGTTTGACCCAAGTTAAACAATTTAAAGGCAATGCTACCAAATACTAATTGAATGTATGTAAACTTCTGACCCACTGGAAATGTGATGAAATAAATAAAAGCTGAAATAAATCATTCTCTCTACTATTATTCTGACATTTTACATTCTTAAAATAAAGTGGTGATCCTAACTGACCTAAAACAGGGATTTTTTACTAGGATTAAATGTCAGGAATTGTGAAAAACTGAGTTTAAATGTATTTGGCTAGGGTGTATGTAAACTTCCGACTTCAACTGTATATATATATATTTTTTAAACATTTTATGTATTGGAATTAATCAGTTTAGCAGTTCTATGCAAATATTTGCAGATTAAAAGATTGAACAGCAAATACAGTTAGGTTTATTTACAGAACTAGTATCCCAGCTCCATGTACCAACAAATGTTATGTATTAAAATATACAGATAACAGTGAACGGTAGCTTGGAAGATACAGCCAACTGAACATAGCTTTCCCTTTGACTACAGGTTGTTCCTTTGAAAATACCCATGTTATTACAGTGTGGTTAAAAATAGTCAATTTACTTTGACTGGTATGATACAGGTTGTCTGGAAATGAGCATACTGGCATATACAACATCAGTTACATCACAACTGCATGTGCTGTAGGTTATGGTGCCCATTGCTGTGTCTTCATTTGGATTTTCAACAATTGTGTCAGTTTGAATAAATATGTTTGATTTACAGGTTGCATATTATAACATTCTCAAATGTGTTTTTTTGCTCATCACACTATTACATAATGATCAAGTCATTAAATTATAGGAAGAAGTAGAGAAAAGGAAGTATATTCTTATATAATATATTAACCTCTGCAAAGAATAATCAGTTTCCCTTGACAGAAAACCAACCTCAAAGGAATTAAACAAGCAATTAAGGGATGGACATTTTCTGGAAATATGAAGCCATAGTAATAACACAAAATGAATACATTTGAGTGCATCTCACTCAAAGAAATAGTAACATTTGCGTAAAGGTTTTCTTACACCTTCCCCTCAGTCAGTTACAGGAAGCCCTCATTAATTGTGCAACATCGGTTGAGACTACCCAAATATTTAACAATAAACCATTCAGTTTGGATTTGCAAACACACACTATCAATAGGAATAATGATACTTTCATTCATAACATTTAGGCCTTTAAAAAATATTCCTTATTAAGGTTTTGCAAAACACATTACTACAGTCCAAGTCAGACAACAAACAAACTCCCAATTTTATACATAGTTGAGAAGAATGTTTCCACACAGTTGCAGAGCCCACAATGATGTCGATAGAAAGCTTTAAAAAAAAAGCTAACACTGCTTTTTCAACAAGAAGCAATTAAAAACCGAATAGATTGATGTTAATAACATTAACTGAAATGTGAGGCGTACTAAAAGGAGATTGATGGTGATTCATCACAAACAGTTGGAAAGCCATAGGGCCATTTGACCAGATGACTCTCTACATCCCAAATCAACCCCTAGCCTACACCCTACACACTTGTGTAGACCTGAGAGGATTGAATAGGTGTAGTATGGTTACTGCTTCACAGTGCCTTCTTATAGGCTTGGTGGAATTTTTTGCCAAATTGCTTCACTCAGCCAATCATTTCAGATCTACAGTAGTATCTAAGTGGGGGGACTAGGGATTGATTTGGAATTCAAGTTTATGGAATGACTGGCTCTCATTCACAGTTCAGAGGGGTCTGTCACTGCAGTATGTGTTCCTAACAATATAGCTTATAACAACAATAGCAGACACTTTCTGCAGGCTTTAAACTGTCTCACTTATCTAACTGGAGCATGACAAAGTATATCAAAAGTACCAGTATTAGCAAACAAACTTCTACCATAATTAAACTGGGGTAAGGGTCAGTTGCCATGGCAAATTTTGATTGTTTGAGAGACAGAAGAGAATAGGCCTTACATGGGGTCTATGACTTCAAAGCAGAAGACCTGAGGAATCACCTAACAGAGGAGTTGTCAATGTTATTTAAGATTCAATATTGTCATTCCTGAACTGTAAATAAATAAATATGACAAATGACAGCCATAACAGAAATATAGAAAAAGTCCAAATAAAGAGTAAAGCAATGGTATAAGTACAAATTACTTTACCCAAGCATTGTCTGTGCTAATGGAATAATAACGCCAAATGTTGGCAGCAATTGATAAGAAATGGGGGAAAATGGTTAGGTAGGGAGGTAAAAAAATAAGTGGCCTTGTGGATAAAACTCCACTCTGTCTATCTGAGAAGGTACTGCATTACGATGGCTGTGCCTCTTCCTCCGCTCCTCCTCCTCTATTACTGTCCACATGGTTTAGAGGGGTGGATGTTGTGGAGTCATTGTCCAGCGGCACCCCCAGTCGAGCCAGTTCCTCCTCTGCGTTAGTCCATGACGTCATGGACTCGTGCACGGTGACTGTGTGCTCCTCCATCTGCTTCTGAAGGCTGTCCATCTCATGCCTGCAGGAAACAAACATTCACTTTAGTGTACTGGCATTGGATTCCTATTACATAATTATAAATACACCATCCACGTGAGACAAATACGTTTCAAGAATAAAGGATTTCTATCATATTCTTTGTCTTTCATTATGGTTATCAGAAAACACATGCTATTTGGAGCTACAATAGCATATTTTCCACACAGGTTTTCCACTCCCAGAAGGTAAAGAAGATATGGTGGTATTTTCTTACTTGAGCTGGCGCAGACAGTTGTGCAGGTTATTGAGGGGCTCCTTGTTGACGGAGGCGGAGGGCTTGAGCAGCTCATCCAGCAGGGAGGCAGGCACAGGGCATTCTGGGATCTTCACCGGGGTCACTGGGTTCGATGGGTTTGATGGCTCCATCCTCTGCTGCTCAATCAAGAATGCAACACATCAGCACAAAAAGGAAGCCTGCATTCTGTGTGATATATGCTGTCAAGTGTTATTAGGAAATAACTTTTCATATCCTTCATCAAACCAGAACAAAACATACAGTATACCATGTTACACTTGGATATCCAGCGCCTTCTCAAAGCCATTGGATGAGCTGAATATTCTACCAATCACACCAATATTGAAATATAAACATCTAAATAAGAAAGTGCACTTCAGTCTCAGCCAGGTAAGTCTCAATTTGACACAACACCAATATTAAAATTCCATAACACTTGACAGAAATAAAACAAAATGGCCTCTTCTTCCTCAGGTAGCTTACCTTCCGGAGGCGGTTCTGTTTGAGGTCCAGTTTGAGCTGCTGGTTCTGCAGCAGGACAGTCTTCATGCTGTTCCTCAGCTCCCCCACCTTGGCCTGCAGCATGAACTTATCTTTCCTGGTGCTGCTCAGCTCCTCCTGCACAGACTCCAGTTCCACCTTAATGCCCTAGAATGCAGAGCAAGGCAAAGTCAGGCACAAAATGGCAACACAATGGACAATGATAGAGAGATGCATCTGTGGTTTAGAGTCTGGATGATAGCACTATGCAGTGGAGCTAGCCAGCTATGTCCTCACTACCCTGTTGGGTGTGCGTGCATGTGCATGATCACATCTATGTGTGTGTACCTGTAGAGCTGTCTGCAGGCTGTCCAGCTCCCTCTGGCTGCACTGCTCCACCATCTCCAGCTGCTGTCTCTGGGCCTCGATTTCCCTCTGTCTCTGCTCAACCTCCCACTTCAAATCCTCCACCTGGGGGAGAGAACAGTCAAGAGTCAGTGACCGATGTCACTTTCAATAAACTACTTCCCCATTCAGTCATGGGTTGTGTTCAGTAGGGCACACTGTAGCAAAACAAAACTGTGTGTTCTTATTGGAAAAGTTCCAAACTTTTTCTCCCTACTGAACACGACCATGGTTGTGTTTATTGTATAGCGTGATGTGGCATAGCTAGCTACCTCCTGGTTGGTGAGGGGCTGCTTGCTGAACTGCTCATCCAGCTGTTTCTGGAGGATCTGGAGCTGGGAGTGGGCCTCTGACAGCTCCTCCTGGAACCTGGAGACCTCCTGAGAGTGTTTCTCATCCTGAGCCCTATGGAAGGAAAGGAAAGGATGTTAGGGTAAGACAATGTTAAAATCAAGGAGAAACATAAGATCAAAATACAAATATCACGTTGAGTTAGATGGGGTTATTCCCTAAAATAAAAGGACCGAGCATTCCCTAACGATTACATCAACTCATAGGGTAATCAAAATAATCTCTCAATCTGTTAAACACAGCGTCATTCCATGTCCATGTCTTCTTCACTAAATTATAAAGTGCAAATTTAGACTCACTGTAGTTTGTGTGCCTCGCTGTGCAGGGCTTTGACCAGCTCCTCTTTGGCCTGCAGGTCCTTCTTGATCTCACACAGCTCCAGCATGGCTGCCCGGTAGTGCCGCCTGTTGTGGGCAGCCTCTGCCTTGGCTGCTGCCACCTAGTACACAACACACATTTACAGTCTGTCTCCAAGGGCTTATATAAGTGCATTACAGTATGTTACAATGTGTTAATGACAACATAAGACTATGTTGTGGCTAGGCCAGTCTGTCTCCTTCAGGGGCTTGTATGTGTATGTAATGCGTTACAATGTGTTAATGACAACAGATTATGACTATGTTGGTGTGGGTTGGGTTGGGAGCCTTTACCTGCTCTTTCAGGTCCTTGACTTTGGCCTTTTCCTTCTCCAAGGCGACCTGTAGAGTCTGGACCAGCTGTTTCATCTGCTGGTCTTCCTCCTCTTTACGTTTTAGTACTGCTTGTACCTGTGGAGAAGGGCAAGGAAGAGAATAGAAAAAACAATCCCCTCGGTTAGCTTTTTAATGAAAAAGGGCAACCATCAATGGTCATATTTAATGGTGTTATCGTATGGGTTAAGTAATTGAATTGATCAGTGATAGTAGTAACTGAGAATGTAACATTGAAGCCTTTTACCTGGAGGTTGAGCTGGACCAGGTCTGCCTCTCTCTTGGCTAGGGCGGTCTCCAGAATATTGGAATGCTCCCGCAGTGCATTGTGGGACTGCCCTAGTCCCGTCAACTTCCCTTTCTCATGTTCCAGCTCCAGGGATAGCTTCTTGTTGGCGTCTTCCAGCCTCCTAATCCGCCTCTTGAAGCATCGTGCCTCCTGCAGCTGTGAATGACAAAGATGTACGATTTTACAATCAAACCTTTGAGAAGCACTTATACCATTGGCTGTGAGTAATTTTCAGAGGGGTTGGGGTAGCATAGCAGAACACACATTTCCATTGGACATTTATGGACAAATAAAGTAATCGCTAAGGGAAAATTATGTCTGACATTTCAAAGTGGAAATGTTTTAAACATATTTTTTAACCTAAAATATACATGACAAGTTTTTAAAGTTATCCTGCAAAAGGGTGATCAAATCAAGATCCTACATTGTAGGTAAGACAACCACTCACCTCATCCTCAAGCTCCATGACTTTCTCCTGGTACTCCTCCAGCTCAGTGCTGGTGAGGGAGATGACCTCCTGAAGCTCTTTCTCCAGCGTTGCCTTGCTGTGGCTCACAGCCTGGAGCTCACTTTGCAGAGCCTCAATTTTATCCTGGAACAAGTATAGGTTTAGATCAGTAGGCTATAGAAATATCACCACAGCTAAGGATGTGCTGAAATCTTATATTATGAGTATGGCCACAAGTCTTTCATGACCACATGATGTGACCAGAAACAAACTCTGGATCCTAGTTCCTAGTTAAGTCATTTGATCAGAAAAAACACTGGGCCCTTATGAGGGTAGTACTGTACCTGCAGGGCCTGGTTGTTGCCTCCGTCTGAGACCTGGGCCTTGAGTTTGACCAGCTCTGCCTCGGTGGTCTCCTTGTCGGCCAGGGCTTCTTGGAGCCTGCGACTCAGGATGCCCACTGCGTTCTCATAGGCCTTGTGTTTGACCTTCATCTCCTTTTGCGCGCTGGTCAAATCTGTCCCCAGCCGCTTCATTCTCACCTTCTGCTCTGAGATGGCCCTGAGAGAGGAAAATAAGAAAATTAGACACATCAACAGTATTGCACATCTAAGCAATCTTACTAAAAGAGATTAAGAGATACATATTCACATTCATATTCTTATACCACTTTTAGAGATTCATAGTGAATCTTGTTGGGCCATTACTATGGTAACCAGGCTAGTTCCAGAAGTCTGTATGGCTTTATAAACATTGTGACTCACTTCTTGGCTTCCGACTGCATCTGCTCCACCTGTTTCTTCAGGCCCTCATTCTCCTCCGTCACTGCTGCTAGCTGGCTCTGGTCAAACTGCAGGGACTGTGGAGGGGCATCAAACGCACACTGATTATTATCAAATGCCTATCAAAGATAGCCGGATAAGGCAATGGGATATGTAATGTAAGAACTGTCATGGAAGTAATGCAAAGAAAACCCTTAGAAAATCCTAGAAAAACCTAAAGCTGCTAGGGAGGCATTGTGTACCTGGATCTGTGTCTCCAGCTGATCCCTCTTGGTCTGCACGGACTGCAGGTGGTTCTCCAGGCTGTTCATCTGCTGCGAGACCCGGACCACCTCCTTCTGCAGCCGGCTCTGCTCCAGCTCAGCCTTCTGCTTCTCCCCCTGGGCCTCCAGCAACTCTTGCTTCAGCCCCTTCACCTCCGACACCAGACGCTTCTTAGTGGACTTCAGCTCGCTGATCAACTGCTCCTTGGAACTGGCGTCCCGCCGATAGGCCTCCACCATCACCTGATGGGTGGGAAATGGGAAGGGGTGTGAAGAGATTCATCCCGTGTATGAATGTGTGTGTCTGTGTGTGTAAACAATCCTCCCAAAAGGCAAACAAGTGACAAGCACCTTTTGCTGCATGAACTGCTCTTTCAATTTCTGAGCTTGTTTCTTCAGGGTGCCGTTTTCCTGCTGCAGAGTTTCAATCTAAAAATAAAAAGGAGAAGGTGTTTACGTTCTACTTAAGCTCAAACATGGTTGCTCAACAGCCATAGTAGGATTGTGTGTGATGGGACCCATGGGCTCCACGGCGGTTTGTTTCTCACTTGTGAGGCTTTGACCTGGACCTCCTGCCTGAGCTGATCCAGGAGGTCCGAGGACACTAGCACCTCCTCCCCCAGCCTCTCGGCCCCCTCGTCCAGCTGACATTTGTCAGCCCTGGCCGCCTGGAGGGCCACCTCCAGCACAATCTTCTCATTCTGCAGGTACTGGATGTTCTCGTCCTTGGCGTTGGTCTCTGTCTGCAGCTCTGCCAGCGTGGCCTCTAGCTCCAGGTAGCGGGCCTCCAGCTGGTTGATGGACTGCTCTTTGGTGTGAAGGCTCTCCTGAGTGGCTGTCAGCTGTCTCATCAGCTCCAGGTGCTCCTTCTGGAGGGCCTCCAGCTGCAGGTCCTTCTGGGATAGGGTCACCTTCATCTGTGGGGGACGCAGAGAGGAGTTACATTAGGCAACTGTTGCTGCAAAATAGCAAACCAGTGAGCGGACATTCAGTTTTTGTCAAAGTATTGGACCTTGTTTTTGTCTAGCTCGTGATATTATTTTGGATGTGCGTAAAAGACCCACCTTTCATTGATATTAGACCACCCACCCAGAGTATCAAATACCATTCATTTGAACAATACAAAGGTTGTCATAAGTGTTTTCATAAACCCACAATTAGTTACTTACCTGCTCTAGTTCCCTCTCCAGAGAGCTGGCTGTGTTGGCCAGTTTCTGTAAGTGCTCTCGCTCCTCCTCAAACTCGTCCAGCTTGTGCTGGAGGTCATCCTCCACCATGCTCTTGGCATCCTGGATCTGCTGGTAAGCAGCCTCCTGGGTCATCATGTCAGTCTACGGCCAAAGGGAGGACAGAGAGGTCAGGTCACACACTGCTTAATAACCTCAATTCTATCTCATCATATTATATTTTGCCAGTAAATCTTATATTCTTTTTCAGTAAAATGTTAAATAATCACATTACACAATATAACAAACACCAATCACATAACTTGTCATATTTCCTCATTTTCAAGGGGACAGACCTCAATACTCTGCAGCTGTACGGCAATGCGCTCCTTCTCTTTGATGGAGCGATGCTGGGTTTCTGTCAGCTGGTGGGACAGAGTCACATTCTCCAGCTTTAGGTGCTCCATGACACCAATCTGGGTCATCTGCCCAGCCTGGGGGGAAAAACATGTAAAATAAGTCAAACAGCATATCAACTCTGTACCACATCAACTCTGTAACATGTCAACTCCATACCACATCAATTTCATAACACGTCAACTCTGTAACACATCAATTCAATAGAAGGAAGGAGGAGCCCTTCTCACAGATAGCCTTACCTGCATGTTGGCCATTTCACCCTGGAGCCGGACCCGAGCCTCCTGGGCCAGCGCTAGCTGCTGCTGGTACCATTGGCGGACCTGCTGCAGTGAGTCAATCTCGGCCTGGGAGGTCTTCAGCCGGCTCTGCAAGGTGCTGCGCTCTAGTTGGACCTGCTGGAGCTGAGTCTGGAGGCCACCCATCTGCTGACGCAACTCTTGGACTGCAGAAGGACCATAACAAATCATTCACAAAGCGTTTGTATTTAGCACGGTAATAAGTGACGCATCGAATTTCATTAGTATTATTGTGTGGAGCATGTTGTGAGGAGATGGTAGTTTAAAAGCATGATGCCAAAACTGGGCTCTCCATCCATCCAATTTACCAGCGTTGTCCCTGGAGGTCACGTTCTGCTGCATCTCCTCCACTTTCCCCATGAGCCTCTGGTACTGCTCCTCGGCCACCTGCAGGTCGTTGCCAAGTGACGAAAGGCCGGCGTTCTTGCGCTCTAGGTTGCCCTGCAGCTCCACCATGGCCCTCTCCAGCTGGGAGCAGCTCTGGCGCAGGGTGGACACCTCCTTGTTGAGGGAGCTCTGTTTCTCCTGGCTGTCCTGGGCCTGCTCCACCTGGTCCCGCAGCTGGGCGTTGACTGTAGCCAGCTGGGCCTGGAGCTCAGTCTTCTCTTTCAGAGCCTGGAGAGGAGAGGGAGGAATTGTAGGGTGTAGGGTATTAGTCTAGCTATTCCAGTGACGGTAAGTCTGAACATGTAAGGAGTGTTAATTACCTTAGTTGATCCTACGTTTAGAGAGTTAGCCATTGAAGACAGTAAAGTCTTTACTACATTGTCTGTATGTTAGTTATACCTGGTTGGCCTCAGAAGACAGAGACTCTAGCTGGCCCTCCAGTCTCATCTTCTCCTTCAGAACCTGGAGCATTTCATCATGTCCCATCACAGAGCTCTCTAATGACACACTGTAGGAAACAAGCAATTAAACAATATAAGCAGAAATCTAGCAAGTGCAATTGACTGGGGAATTCTACAACAATTCATGGTCAATTATGACTGGAAAAGTAAGCAAACATAGACCAGTGTACATGCAGATTCGATGTATAACAGCAATGATGTAAAGCGGACTAGTGTTCCTGCTTATTTACTGTCTGCAATAGCAATGTGCTTATGTTATACACTAGTACTACACCAGTCAGTTTAAGTGATACTATGTGTTATTACAGAAGTGATGTGTGCTGATAATTTATTTATTTTTCAGACGCTCTTATCCAGAGCGACTTACAGTTAGTGAGTGCATACATTTTTTCATACTGGCCCACCGTGGGAATTGAACCCACAACCCTGGCATTGCAAACGCCATGCTCTACCAACTGAGCTACACGGGGCCCTGATGATGGTGTAGCCTACCTGCTGGAGAAGCTGTCCCTGCGGCTGTGTGGTTCTCCAGTCTCCTCCCTGTCCTGCTCCAGCTCTAGCAGGTGCTGCTCATCACTGGCAGCCTGCAGAACCTCTTGCAGCGAGGGGAAGTTTCCCATAGCCTCTGGGGCAATCTCCCTACCCTCCACTGTGTAGTTCCCGCCCCTCTGCCTGTTCACTGCTGCAGCCAGCATGGCGTAGGTCCCAGTGCCCCTGGTGGAGGTAGACACGCTGCTGTAGGTCGAGCTGTCGCTGTCATTCCCGTCCCCACCGGGCCTCGACCCCATCCCTGACTCGCTGCCGGCGTCCACCTCCGAGATGTCCTGGAAAGACATTGACGACCCCAGCGGGGCCTCCAAAGAGGTTGTCTCCGTGGAGCTGACCTCTGACCTCATGCTGCCCTCTGACAGGGTGGACACAGAGCTCAAGTTGGACCCCAGGGAGCCCATGGAAGAGTCTGCAGACGTCCTGACCCCACCACCACCACTAGTGCCCCCTGCTGGCTCGGGAGTCTTGTAGTCGGCCAGGGAGTGGATCTTGCTGGGGCGGGTTGACCGTGACTTCCTCTCCTTGGCTGGGGGGATGCCCAGGCTGCCCAGCTTTGGGCCCCGGGGGACGCTGGTCCGCAGGAAGGAGTACTCTGTGGTCATTGAGGTAGTGCTGGCCCGGGGGAGAGCCTCTGGGTGCATCATGAGGTCTGGGTCCAGAGTGCTGAATCCAGTGCGGCTCTTTAAGGTAGAGCGGTGGGACTGGATGAGGAGAGAGGGTAGTGTGAGCATGAGCAGAGGATGTAGTCTACTTCAGCCCAGCGTTTCCCCTAGCTTGTTTTCTTGTGTGGGCACAAAAAAGCAACATTCAGGGCTGCAAACACCAGACCATTCAACGGAAACTAACAGAGGATCATTATTATACTATACTGTTGGTAGTGGATAGCAACAAATCTAGGCAAGAAGGCCTGCCATGCCAAAATAATGCTAGGGGAAACACTTCTGCTTCAATTCAACGCTGTAAAGCTTGCAACTGACAGCTTTATCCGGATTAATGACTGCCTGGTGACTGACGCTGTTCACACACACACACACACTCACTCACCGTCTCCTTGTGCCTCTGTACCCTGTACTGTTTGAGCTGCTCCTCCAGGCGTCGCCGAGCATCATGGCGGATCTTCTCCTCATTCTCCATCTCCAGTGATGTCTCTTTGACAGCTACAGGAAGAGCAAGTTTAACACTAGAAATAGAAGAGCCTAACTGCACCACCATACAACACAGAATATGCTAACAATAACTTAGACATTGTCATACAAGCATACAATACATTTTACAAGGAAACCACAACTATGTGTGCTACAACTACTTTGTACCTCAGTTTAGAGCCATTTTTATGTAAGAAATGAGAGTGCTTGTATGACATTGTTATCCATCCACCATGGTTAGTGAAAAGTGTATGCACTCACTAACTGTAAGTCGCTCTGGATAAGAGCGTTTGCTAAATGACTAAAATGTAAATGTTAGTTACCAAGTGAAACTGCATGCAACCCAGTACTTACAAAGCCAAATGAGTAAGACTCAAATCAATCCCATATATTAGCCAGTCGCTTAGTTATTACATTAATGTTAGTCAAATGTGACACACAAAATGGTCTAGTATCCAAACGTATTTTGTTTTTAGTCTTTTTTGGTTAGTTAGTTTGCAGTCAGTTGGTGATATGCCTGATTGATGATGCTCTGACTGCAATTGGCCAGGTGTGCTGAAGACCAACCAACAGGTGTCAATCAGTGCAACTTAGAAGTTAGCATGAGGACTTCCTGATTGCAGCATCACTTAGAGCAGAATGCACTATGAACGGAACGAAACCAAGAATGTGATACTATAAATGAGTTTATGTACAGTACCAGTCAAAAGTTTGGACACACCTACTCATTCCAGGGTTTTTCTTTATTTTTTACTATTTTCTACATTGTAGAATAATAGTGAAGACATCAAAACTATGAAATAGCACATATGGAATAATGTAGTAACCAAAAAGTGTTAAACAAATCAAAATATATTTTATATTTGAGATTCCATATCAAACAGCCACCCTTCGCCTTGATGACAGCTTTGCACACTCTTGCCATTCTCTCAACCAGCTTCACCTGGAATGCTTTTCCAACAGTCTTGAAGGAGTTCCCACATATGTTGAGTACTTGTTGGCTGCTTTTCCTTCACTCTGCGGTCCGACTCATCCCAAACCATCTCAATTTGGTTGAGGTCGGGGGATTGTGGAGGCCAGGTCATCTGATGCAGCACTCCATCACTCTCCTTCTTGCTAAAATAGCCCTTACACAGCCTGGAGGTGTGTTGGGTCATTGTCCTGTTGAAAAACAAATGATAGTCCCACTTAGCGCAAACCTGATGGGATGGAGTATCGCTGCAGAATGCTGTGGTAGCCATGCTGGTGAAGTGTGCCTTGAATTCTAAATAAATCACAGTGTCACCAGCAAAGCACTCCCACCCCATTACACCTCCTCCTCCATGCTTTACGGTGGGAAATACACATGCGGAGATCATCCGTTCACCCACACCGCGTCTCACAAAGACACGGCAGTTGGAACCAAAAATCTCCAATATGGACTCCAGACCAAAGGACAACTTTCCACCGGTCTAATGTCCATTGCTCGTGTTTCTTGGCCCAAGCAGGTCTCTTCTTTTTATTGGTGTCCTTTAGTAGTGGTTTCTTTGCAGAAATTCGACCATGAAGGCCTGATTCACACAGTCTCCTCTGAACAGTTGATGTTGAGATGTGTCTGTTACTTGAACTCTGTGAAGCATTTATTTGGGCTACAATTTCTGAGGCTGGTAACTCTAATGAACTTATCCTCTGCAGCAGAGGTAACTCTGGGTTCCATTGCTGTGGCGGTCCTCATGAGTGCCAGTTTCATCATAGCGCTTGATGGTTTTTGCGACTGCACTTGAAGGAATGTTCAAAGTTCTTGAAAATGTCCGTATTGACTGACCTTCATGTCTTAAAGTCATAGCCATAATATGGACTTGGTCTTTTACCAAATAGGGCTATCTTCTGTATACCACTCCTACCTACCTTGTCACAACACAACTGATTGGCTCAAACGCATTAAGGAGGAAAGAAATTCCACAAATTAACTTTTAAGAAGGCACACCTGTTAATTGAAATGCATTCCAGGTGACTACCTTATGAAGCTTGTTGAGAGAATGCCAAGAGTGTGCAAAGCTGTCATCAAGGCAAAGGGTGGCTTTTTGAAGAATCTCAAATATAAAATATATTTTGATTTGCACAGGTCCCATGTAGCTCAGTTGGTAGAGCTTGGCGTTTGCAACGCCAGGGTTGTGGGTTCGATTCCCATGGGGGGCCAGTATGGAGACATTTTTTTTTGCACTCACTAACTGTAAGTCGCTCTGGATAAGAGCGTCTGCTAAAATGACAACAAAAAAATGTGTTGAACACTTTTTATGGTTACTACATGATTCCATATGTGTTATTTCATAGTTTTGATGTCTTCCTAAAATTCTGCAATGTAGAAAATTGTAAAAATTAAGAAAAACCCTTGAATGAGTAGGTGTGTCCAAACTTTTGACTGGTAGTGTATGTGACACAGTAAACATTCTATGTGGGAGTGGTTAGCCTAGTGGCTCACAGTAAACAAAAAGCTTGAGGCAAAATGAGCCATATTCTGTAATATAACTAATAAACGTAAAATACTTTGCATATCATGGTACCTGTAAGCCTAGGCCGTCATCCAAAACAACATTCACCACAACCCACAAGTAAAGGATTAGTTCAAATACAGCCACTACCAAGAGAAGCACCAAGACCCTAATCAAGCAATTAAATGACCACTGGCATTGCACAAAGTTAGCAGGCTCAAACCACAAAAGCAGATACTCTCTCGATATAGCTCTTTAATGGGAGTGTAGTAAGCACAGGCAAGGGAATTAAAATAGGGTATGGGGTAGGCCTAAATCAATAAGTCAACCTCTGAAGCAACATCCCAAAGCAAAAGGTGTTTGAAATACAGGGGGCGGGGGACGGGCTCTCACTGCAAGAACAGGTTACAGTATGCTTACACAATTCAGTCTCCTGCATAGGCATACTCAGTCTGAGCGACTGCAATGCGTCGCCCTTGTGAACAGGGCCCTCAGCATTAGTTCCCTCAGACTTCTCTAGCATGGCTGGTGGGAAAGCGGCCACACCTTGGGATGGCTCTTTGGACTGGCGGCTGACGGTGGGGCTGGTGCCCTGAGCAGGGGGCGATGGAGGCGGCAGGGGGCTATTTGGACGGCCGTCCCCTCCAGCGCCTGGCCCCGGGCCCTGTGCCACTTGTTCTCCATTAGGCACCACGTCTGCTTTGAAAGAACCTGCAACAAGGGAGTGAGGTGAGTTGGGGCTTGACAGGGAAGTGTGTCAGTAAAGTAGGTAATTTACGGCATCCATCCATCCAGTTTGTATTTCACCACACAATAAGAGAGGATTGTGATATACTTGAAATAAAAAAATTATTATTATTATTTATTATTATTATCATTATTATTATAAAAAAAGGAAAGGACTCTGAGGCAAGGCTCCTTTGCATGACAACGTCTATTGTGGCTTTCACAGGTCAAACAAGCTTTGTTGTCAAGCCAGAATAGCTCTTTAGGAACTGGAAGTGGCAGTTTGATACTATTCATTTTACATGTGTCAATATGGGCAAACTATTTTTATTGAAGGTGAGATGTGTAGGAATAATGACAGCATGCAAATATGCCTTAGTGCAGTTGAGGTGACTGCGAAGTGACATGTTTTGTAGGTGAGTTATGAGGCTCAGATCTCTGTCCAGACAGTTCTGCAATTCCTCATGCAAGTACAAAGACAGATGTAGCAGGGAGGGGCAGATGGCCTGAGGCGGCCGAGTAATGGCCTTTTCTCTGTCCGGTCGCACACAAGCATGTCATGCATAGTTGGGAAAGAATACTGGTAGAAGACAGAGGAATTGCCTCCATATAAGGAGCTCCTATTACTGCAGATTCCCCTCAACAATAACAATGTTTTCACAATGATGTACTGTGAAAATAATACAAGCATTCAGTTATGCTTTCCTATTAACTTCTGAAATGAATTGTTCTCCTACGATTAACTGGTTAAGGAAGAACACCCTCCATTGTTTGATGATGAGAGTGGATGGAATCATTAAATCAGTCAGCATTAGGTCAGTCAGGTTGCCTAGAATGTCTATACTTAAAAAATAAAGCTAATCAAACCCTATCATTTGAGGGGCATGCTAGGGCATTAACTAGGGCAACACTTACCATTAACAACATCCCTCGATATTGTCGGCTTCTCCAGCCCTTTCTTCAGTAGCTGAGCATCATTCTCCACAGGATAAGCACCATCCACTTTGGACTGCGGTATCAGGTCTAGCTGAAGGTTTTCTCCATTGGTTGTCTCCATCTCAGCAACTACTGCTTTGTGGTTTACCATTTGCATACAGAATCAAATGATGTTGCACTGGAGCCCATGGAAGGGAGATGGTAGTCTCAGGGTGTAGCTAAAATCCTTTCAAAACATTTTCTTCCCGTTTGTCCAGTTGAAAAGGTTGAATACAATTCATGCGTCCAAGGCAGGACACCCCAAAACAATGGTCTTCCCTGAAAATGTAAGGTTTAGTTAGTTAAGGTTTAGGTAGTATGAGCATCATAAAGTATTTAATCTGATCAAAGAAAGAGTAATCTAAATGCAAACTAGCCGTAATCTGAAAAGATTTGCCACCATGATGCCATCGTGATGGCGTAGTGTGGATGTAGCGAAAATAACAAAAGGGGCGTGGTCTGCAATAATAACATTGCAAATGTATTGATAAAGTACTTTATTTGCAATAGATTTGGTCAAATGTTCTGACCAACTGTGAGAATGTGGTTGGGAGGAACAGCTCCACTAAGCAATAGCTAAAGCTGTCTAGCTAGCTAGCTAACGTTAAGTGGATTGAGTTACTAAATATAGCTAGCTAGCTAACTTCATTGCCTAGCTTACGTTACGTTAGGCCTTTGAATATTGTAAGTAACGTTAGCTACTAGGCTAACCAGTTTTGCAGGCTATAGAAACAGATATTCGGCAGCTTTACAACACATTCGTTGCCTTGCTTATTTCCCGACTCGTAATAGCCAGTTAACAGTTAATAAATAGTTGCTAGTTAGCTAGCCAATTGCAATGACAGCAGCAGCCTAGACTCACGTTAGCTTTGTGGCTACTAGCTAGCCATCTAAGGCATCATGTGATATGGGAAGTTAGCTTGTTGGAAATTGAAACAAATTATCTGTCACGGGTTATGATGATGGCTGGCCTTTACAAACGACATGCATTTCGCTACACCCGCAAAAACATCTACTAGACGTATATGCGACCAATACATTTGATTGGATGTAGTAACAAGCAAGGTAGCTAGTTGGCTTTATCAACCTGTCAAGCAAAAACAGCCTACGTTTGTTAGTTAACACATCAGCCCCAGAACGTTACTTTAGTTATACAAATATTTTCATTAACTGTGTGTTGTGATCCTGCCAGGCTATGGAGCTAGAATTATTCTAGAACGTCCCGATTTCACACCAGTTCACGAAGTTGTGTAATGTATATATCAATGCACAATGTGAGATTGTGAAAAGGTTTAATAAATAACCATAATATATATATTTAAAAAAATTGACATGACAATGGTTGAAATGCACAGAAAATGTTTATAAAGCCAACCTTTTTCAGACGACTTTTCGTTCTGCTTCTACGTGGCTAAATGGATGCCATTATTTTACTTGTCGGACGAGAAACAGGATACTTGACATCATTTTGTAACTTGATGTCTAGTAAACACCTATTAAATAATTATCTCTTTGAGAATTATATATTAATTATTGTTATTTTTCTCTATCTAATAATGTATACATTATAAGGCTATGCTTGGAAATGAGACCGCTTTAAAGGCAAAAATGTCAGACCAGTTGCTGGCCGAACTACAATTATGAACGGACACCAATGACGTTTTGTCTCGCGCGGGGAGTTGTGGGTGTTAGAGCCCGCCCCTTTGTAATGAATAGAAAAACATGTATTCCCCCTGGCGGTCGTGGACTACAACTGCGCCCTATTTATCAGAAATTGTTTCTAGTTTTGTCAAAACTGTAGTTGGGAAAAACGTGTATTTAGTTCTGTATCCCCATAAAATAAAAAGGTTATAGTGTGTATTACCATGTGGGTGTTTTACTGTCATTATGATGTCTCTATGCAAAATAGGGTCTTAAAACTTGTGATTAGATAATGCCTTGTCATTAATGATGATGATTGTTTCTAACTACTCAGCACTCAACTGAAGACAAATTACACTGATCAAAGATCTAATCAGTTGCTTATAGCATATGGCAAGAGAAGATCAGTAGATCTAAGGTTTCATTAATATCAATTATTACACAGCTAGTGACAAATACAAATATGCATTGCCTATTATTCTATCCATTTGCAAAAATATCACTCCAATGACATGAATAGAAATCTATTTTAGTGTAGTTAGGAATACAGTCTACTACACCTTTTCAGCATTGAATAGGTTGTGATTCATGAATTTCAATTGTCTGACAGTTTAATGACCTCAGATAGGAGATAAACGTGGCAATTGAGAAGGAACAGTCAGACAGGGGCTTGAACCAGCAACCCTTCAGTGTAGTGCAAGCACATTTTCACCTGTGCCATAAAGGTCCAGACGTCTTGGCAGAGGTAGCAATACTTTGAATAGGGAGGCTACATAAGGATTCCTCTGGCCTGCACATGTAGTCAATAAGAAATGTGCAGAATCTTGTTTCACCACAAGACTGTCCCATGTACTCGCTGATGTGCTTATGAGTGAGCATGCTCAAGGAACAGTGGCGACCCATCATTCAGGGCAGGTGGGGCAGAGCTCATTGAGTTAATAAAGCCGCATACAAACATGGTCTGGCATGCATCTACATTTTGTTGTTGTTGAGTTTGCCCCACCAAGATGTACATGCTAAAATCGCCACTGTCAAGGAATGATTCATTAACATTGACAGGGCAGACAACAGATGTTATTCCCTCCTGATTTGCCCTTAACGCTGTTAAAATCAGCCAAACAATAATGATTAACGGTTTAGTGAGCATATTGTTCTATAGACCTACAGCACTGTTAATCAGCATGCTTATGAATATCAGCTAATCTTATTAACTCCATACAGATGATCTTCAGAGCATTCTTAAATATGCTTTTGTAAACTTTACACAAACGGATTCTCAACTCTGCATAAGTCAAGTAATATATGCTACATATGCTACGTAGCCGTCCTATATGATGGTATATTGCCTCTGCCAAGAGGCGTGGGCTTTTATGGCACAGGTGGTAGTGAACTTGCCCTGTAACCAGAGGTCCCTGGTTCAGCCCTGCTCCACTCCAGCTTTCCCCTCTCAATTTTCTATAAATTAATTCATAAAGTCACTATACCCACACCTACACTGGTTCAAGCTCGCTCTTTGCCCTATGTTTCGATGTCATCCCCCCCTCAATTGCTTCATTGGTGGCATCAGTGCAAGAGTAGGCTTCACATGTTCACATTGGGTTTGTGCTCCGGACACTTCTTGAGAAAAAGGGGAATAGTGTAGCCTGTTTGAGAGTACTACTACCCCTCTGTCAAGATGCCTGGGCTTTTATAGCACAGGTGGCAGAGCTCTGCTCCTCTTAAATCACTACAAAACCATAAAGTTACTCCAAAATCAATGGTCTGTAGCTGACCTACTACAAGGAAATGTAGGTTACGGTTCCTAATCCCACAGATGTGCATTGGAAGCTGTGTTTGTCAACATTTTGTGGACAAATAAGACTGACTGCCAAATTGTGGGCGCTTCAGTACAACCCCCTGTGATTTCTGTATGCGGGTCCACGAATGATGAAAGCGCGCTCCCGAGACTTCAGGTGAATGGAGAGTGGGAGCGAGAGCGGGTCCCGGTTCAGTGTGCGTCGGAGAAAAGGACGAAATAAGGAAAATGAACTGCAACAGCTCGTTCTGGGCACATGTGTTCATGACAGCGTATCTGCTATGGGTCACGGGATGTGTTGCACAGAAAGTAAGTAATACATGGCTGCTCTTTGTTTACAGTCTCATTTGCCTCATGAAAAAGCGCAATCAATCGTTTCACCCGTTAGCGGGCTTCTAGTGACTGGCAGAAAACTTGTAAGCAAGAATGAAACACGTTTCCTTGTTGTGTAGTTGGTACCCATACTGGGAAAGACAGAATATATACTTTCCAGGGTAATTTGTCATTATTGTGAACACACATGATGTAATGCACTGTAAACGTGTTGTGTTAGAATAGTTCAGTGAACACAGCACCCGTCCATACAGGGATCACGTCCAGAAGTTTGAGTATAGGTTTACATGAATAATCAAAAAAAAAAAAAAATGTTTTATCTAATACCATTATACTCTAAAATAATCTATAATCCTATCTAAATCCACAAAAAAGGTTATTGACATGCATTTCAATAGGAAGCTTCCAATTCTAATCATTCCAAATTCAAAGTCATGTTGGGTTGTTAATTAAGGAAAATAAGACATTCTTTTATGGGATTTTCCATTGGTCGTGTTGTTAATGAATGCATAATTGCAGATATCAGCTTTTCACAACTGTAAGACATTGCAAATATACATCAATACATTAATATTATGTTATAGCCAGGTGTTTGAACTGAACATCTTGAGCAATGACGGACTTGTAGAGACGGCTCAGGGCTTCATGCCCTCTTCTATCCCTCTTCTCCATGTATCTGTCTGGTGAAGGTCAGGCTTGGCAAGGTACAAGGGAGAGGGGGTTGTGGAGTTCTCCTTTTAAAATCTAAAGAAGTAACTAAAAATGGTTATAATAATAAAATAGAGGAGGAGGGGTTGGGAATAGGATACGAACCCGGTTTAGGGTAAGAGGACTTGGGTTGGGGGAAGGGGTAAATAACTTTATTAAAAATCGGAAGTAGGGGATGGAAACTTAGTAGGGGAGTGGTTTTATAATATTTGAATAGTGGGATGAATGGTTATTTTTGATGTTTGTGTCTCAATTGAGTTCTGTGAAAAAATCTAAAAATCAACTTACAGTGCAATAAAACCGGCGTTTAGGTTGTTAAAATGTCAGCTTCTATTGCAGTGCCCCACCATCCTGGACGGATGAGTTTAAAAGGGTATAATGATTTAAGTAGGTCGGGTAAAAGCCAGGCCTTAAAATTGTGAGATATCAGCGGGAATAAGAGTGGATAAAATCACAATAAAATGCATAAAATATCCACTCTAAAATGGGTTTTAAAAGTGATAAATATGCTCAATATTTAATAAGCAAGGAAAGGGAGGTGCTGTATAAGGGAGGTGCTGTAAACATCTGTGCGGGTCAATTTATTCCTCCCGAATCATGGGCTTCGGAGATGGATTGTCCACCGACCTGAGGGTTCAGAGATTCAGATTAAGATTTGGTAAATCTTGGTAAAGCTACATTTACTACCATGGGGAGAAACACATCCTCAGCGTGACTGTACCTTAGTAGAGGTTAGCGGCAATGGTATGCAGAGTCAGACAGAGAGCAGACAAATGAGAATTGGAGCAGAGCAGAGAAGGGCATGTTCACCTCCTGTTCCTCTCTCTGGCTGTGTCCCAAATTTCCTATAAAGGGCTCTGGTCAATAGTAGTGCATTACATAGGGAATAGGGTGCCATTTGGAACACAGTGCCGGCTCATTCTCTCACTTTGTGGTGAAAACAACCCACGCTGCCTGCCTGACACTGACATGAACTTCATGTCTTCATTCTTGAACCATAGCTCTCATGAATCACACTGTACATACTGTAGAATAGAGACACCTTACCCCTGCTCTCTGCAGGTAGCTACACAACACACAGCAGTTTCTGTCTGAGAGAGGGGGTTCCTAGTACAGTAGTATTTAAGTGTAACCCAACCGGCCCTTACAATTCATTGTTGGAGTGTTACATGGCACAGGATTGTATGGTATGATCAGTGGCTTTTTTCCCCTGGTTATTGGGTTTCCACATCCACACTATGGTGGGGTTTGGAGGTGTAACTCACCTGAAACATGTTCAGCTGGTTGTGCAGCAGAGATGATGGTGCATTAGTCCAGATGACACTCTCCTTAGGGTTTATTCTCAATTCGTCCCAATTGTTGGACATAAAAGACTGTAAAAACACCAGCAAATCAACTCCAAGTGATTTCAATGTAGGAAATCTTTTACAAAGTATTCCCACGCATAATTGAGAGATATATGTGATCTGTTGTCAATTTGCAGTCTACAAATTATTTGTAATTATGTTCTGACACTACAGTATTGACTTAAGTAGCATAAGTATATGTGCAGTATCTGGGGAGAAGGAAGCTATTGATCTGCCGCTGTACTGTAAATAAAATAGAAGGCAGACATGACCCAGTGAATCCAAAACATTACCATGTTATAAGTAGTGTCTAAGGGCCATGTGAGTGTGGTATTTAATTATGTTCAGTTGTTAGCATTTGGGAAAGACCCCCTAATCTGTTCAGTGCTTACAGGTGATTAACAGAGTCTGGCAGAAGGCGTTCTTTTTAATGACCAAATCCTTCCTGACAACTTTGGCAGCAGAGTCAGATTGCAATACTATAAAATAATGATCCCACTTCCTGTGTATTCTGGTGCTGTAGCCTACTGTCTCCGCTATGAGTTGAGTGTGTCACAGTCATTGTATGTACAGTATGTCTATGGCATAAAAGGCTTACCTGTGTCATTGCAGAGTTCTCCCTTGGGCCATGTTAGAATAAATATTAGCTATGACAACATACTACTATAACACTAGGAAGGAGAATCGATAAGGCCACGAACTGTCAAGACTCATCCCCATCCACTGTGACTGAGTGAGGGTGAGCAGCAGAATTCTTAGAACTGAACAACAAAAGCCCTTGGTATATTGAATTGTCAGCATCCCC